CAGCAGAGAGCTGGAGAGGAAGAGGAGCAACCGGGACAGACTGGCGCCCCAACCAGCACTAGAACCCGGGGTGCTGGCGCCGCAGGCGGAGGATTAGCCTAATGAGCCACAGTTGTTTTTTTTTTTTTTTTAAAGATTATATTTTATTTTATTTGAGAGTTAGAGTTACAGACAGTGAGAGGGAGATACAGAGAGAGAGGCCTTCCTTCTGTGGGTTCATCCCCCAAATGGCAACAACAGTCGGAGCTGTGCCGATCCGAAGCCAGGAGCCAGGCACTTTTTCCTGGTCTCCCGTGCAGGTGCAGGGGCTCAAGGACTTGGGCCATCTTCTACTGCTTTCCCAGGTCATAGCAGAGAGCTGGACTGGAAGAGGGGCAGCCAGGACTAGAACCGGCACCCATATGGTATGCTGGCACCACAGGTGGAGGATTAACCTACTGTGCCACAGCGCTGGCCCCACTCTGGGTTTTTAAATTATTATTAAACTTTATTTTCAGGGCCAACACTGTGCCGTGACGGGTTAAGCTGCCACTTCCTAGCTGCTCCACTTCTGATCCAGCTCCCTGCTGTTGCACCTGGAAAAGCAACAGAAGATGGCCCAAGTGCTTGGTCCCTTGCACCCATGTGAGAGACCTGAAAGAAGCTCCTGGCTTCTGCTTTTAGCCTGTCCCAGCCTTGGCCATTTTGGCCATTTGGAGAGTGAACCAACAGATGGAAGACTTCTCTCTGCCTCTGCCCCTCCGCCCCTCCCTCTCTGTAACTCCACCTTTCAAATAAATAAATAAATCTTTTTAAATTAATTTTTTAAATAATTATTTTATTTATTTGAAAGAGTTATGGAGAGAAGTAGAACCAGAGAGAGAGAGAGAGGTCTTCCATTCCACTGATTCACCCCCCAAGTGACCACAACGGCCAGAGCTGAGCTGATCCGAAGTCAGGAGCCAGCAGCTTCTTCCAGGTCTCCCATCCGGGTGCAGGGGCCCAAGGAGTTGGGCCATCTTCTACTGCTTTCCCAGGCCATAGCAGAGAGCTAGATCAGAAGAGGTGCAGCCGGGACTCAAACCAGTGTCCACACTGGATGCTGGTGCTACAGGCTGGGGCTTTAGCCCACTGTGCCACAGTGCCGGCCCCTAATTAATTATTTTTAAGGAATATAAATTTCCTATGTACAACTTTAGGAATGTAGTTGTTCTTCCCACCATACCCACCCTCTCACCCAAAAAATCTTTAAACTTGAATTTTATTTGGAAGGCAGAGAGAGAGAGAGACAGACAGACACACAGAGAGAGACAGAGACAGAGAGATCAAGGGGTCTCCTCAAATGCCTCCAGGGCTGGGCCATGCTGAAGCCTGCAGCCAGGCTTCAGTCTGGGTTTCTCACGTAGGTGTTAGGGATCCAAGTACTTGAGCCATCACTGGCTGCCCAGGGTGCTCATTAACAGGAAGCTGAAATTAGAAGTGTGAGGAGTCACACGGTTTATAAGTTTATAGTTTTAGGTTGATACTGGTGGACAATGAGGAAAAGAGGGTCCCCCAAGAGGGTGCAAAATGCTTGGTTCCCCCAAGGTGCCAAATCCCACTACATGTTTCTCCCCAAAAGCTGCCTTTAGCAAGACAAAATGTGCCTATCCCACTCCTTGGGAGTTTCCAATTTAATCATGAGAATAGCAGTGGAGTTACCTATCCCACCTTTGCTAGGGCAAACAAGATTACAAATTTGTCCTTTTGATGGATTTTGTTCCAACCCTGTAACTGTCAGTTTTTTTCCCCAAAATTGTGCTTAAAAACCCCACTACCACCAGCTTCCAGGGGTTTGCCTCTCTTGGAGCCAAGTTGCTTCGGCAGGAGATTCCTGACTTAAATAAATCTCACTTTTCTCTCTGCCTTCTGCATGGAAATTCTTCTCATCTGTGAGACAAAGAACCCAGGCAACCTCTCTCTGCCGCCTTCTCACCCGAAACAGGCAGAGGCAGCCAGAGTTGGAACTTGAACCCAGGCTCCCACAGGGGACGCAGGTGTCCCAAATGGCATCTTTTTTTTAAGATTTTATTTATTTACTTGTGAGGCAGACTTACAGAGAGAGGGAGAGACAGAGAGGTCTTCCATCCGCCGGTTCACTCCCCAAATGGCCGCAATGGCCAGAGCTGGGCCAGTCAGAAGCCAGGAGCCAGGAGCTTCTTCTGGGTCTCCACGCGGGTGCAGGGGCCCCAGGACTTGGGCCATCTTCTGCTGCTTTCCCAGGCCATAGCAGAGAGCTGGATTGGAAGAGGAGCAGTGGGGACTAAAACTGGTGCCCAAGTGGGATGCCGGTACCGCAGGCAGAGGCCTGGCCTACCATGCCACAGCCCAGCTCCCAGATGGCATCTTATTCACTGAGCCCAACACTCAGCCCTGGGCTGTTCTAGTGTTTGCTCACAACTTGCCTTCTCCACTGAAACAGTCTTCATCAAACTATATTCTTAATAGTATATTAGGTTCTCAATTTTTACTTTGGGGATGGCTGTATAAATGAAAGAATCAAGGAACGAGACCCTTCTTCCGTCCCCAGAGAGTCTCAAATTTCTTTCCTTCGTCTGAGCCCGACTGGAAGGCGGAGGTAGAATGAAAAAGGAAGACTGGCCTGAGTTACGAAGTCGGATGAGGAGCCGGTGCCATCGGATGCCTGCAGTGCTGGCATCCCAATGAGCACCAGTTCAAGTCCTGGCTGCTCCATTTACAATCCAGCTCTCTGCTAGGGCCTGGGAAAGCAGTAGAAGTCTTTGGGTCCCTGCCCCCATGTGGGAGACCCAGAAGAAGCTCCGGGCTCCTGGCTTCTGATCAGCCCAGCTGTGGTGTTGCAGCCAGTAGGGGAGTGAACCAGCGGATGGAAAACTCACTCTCTCTCTCTGCCTCTCTGTAACCCTGCCTTTCAAATAAAAAAAAAAAAAAAAAAAAGGCAGCGGATGAAGACCTGGGTCAGAGAAACTGAGGTCGCAGGAGCTTCCCAAGGACGTAGGGCTGAGGACCCAGGAAGGGCGGGGCTGCGAGGAGGAAGTCGCGGTGGGCGGGGCCCGACGGGGCGGGGCCTCCGGAGGGCGGGGTCTGCGGCGGCAGCCCGGCGGCCGCGTCCAAAGATGGCCACTGCAGAAGCGGCCGACACTCAGCTGATGCTCGGAGTGGGGCTGATCGGTGAGGACGCAGGCGCCCTGCTCTGCAGGCCCACACTCGGTTCCGCCTCCGCCTCGCCTCGGCCTGGGGCAGCCCGTGCTCTCGCGGCCCCTCGCGCCGCCCTTCTGAGGAGGGCGCGGCCCCTCCATGTTTGGCCTGGTCTGGGGGCTGCGGGCCGGCTCTCCTCGGCGCGGGGCCGGCGCCCGCCTCCTGGAGGCCCCCACGGCCACCGGGAGCCCGGGGGCCGCACTCCTTCTGCGCTACCGGCCTGCCTGACGCGCGGCGGCCGCGCAGGGTCCCCGCGCCGGCTGGGCGGGAGGTGGCGGGGCGGGGCCGGGCCCGCGGAGTCCGGTGCCGCGGCCGCCTGGGTGTGGGAACCCGCGTGACTGCCCGCCGGGGACCTGGCGCTGAGCGTGCGGAGTCCGCGGCTGCGCGCGGGGCTTGGGCCGCCTCGGGTGGCTGTGCCCCTCGCTGGTGGGTAGCGTGGGACGCGGGCCCAGGGTCTCGCCACGAAGCGGCCGGGCCAGGCCGGGACCCTCGAGGCCGGAGACCTCCGCGTTGCAGGGCCAGGGTTCGTCGGGGACCTCTGGGAGCCCGGCAGTTTCAGGTGTGCGGGTTTCCCGGAGCCATTCTAATGTAGGTTGGTTCCTGTAGGTTGCAAGGTCTTCCTCTGCCTACGTCTCTACACATCGACCCTGGTTCCCAAGGCACCAGGACCTTCCCAGACAGCAAAACCGGGTCTCAAAAGACGACGTTTATCTGAATTTTCTCTCTCTCGTTTTTTAAAAATTTATTTGAAAGGCAGATACTGGGGGAGTGCTTTCCATTCGCTGGTTCACTTCCCAAATGGGGCCAACGACCTGGGCTGGCCAGGGGGAAGCCAGGAGCTTCCTCTGGGTCTCCCAGTGGGTGCAGGGGCCAAAGCACTTGGGTTATCTCCTATTGCCTTCCCAGGCCACAGCAGGGAGCCTGATCGGAACTGGAGCCTACTTGAACCGGGGCGCCCATAGGGGATAGCAGTCCTGCAGGCTGGGGCTTTAACCCACTGAGCCACAGTGTCAACCCCCGTACCTGAAACATTAAAACTGCCTCAAACCAAAACCCGGATAGCCCGGAAGGTGCTGAATTCAGCTCAGTTAGACTCCATGGAGCAACAGCGAAGAAAAAGACGACTTCGGATCATATATTCAATTCAGGAGGTTTTTAAAAAGTTTTTTTTTTCCATATTGGTACACATTACCATTTTAAACTTAAGGCAATTATAAAAGTAGAAGCGTTTCTATGGGACGAGACCGGGAGGAACTCTACCACACCTCTAGGGCTAAATGTTTTCACTAAAGATGTGTTCAGGGGCCGGTGTGAGTTCGAGGCCCGGCTGCTCGACTTCCCATCCAGCTCTCTGCTATGACCTGGGAAAGCAGTGGAAGATGGCCCAGGTCCTTGAGCCCCTGTACCCACGTGGGAGACCTGGAAGAAGCTCCTGGCTCCTGGCTTTGGATCGGCCCAGCTCCGGCCATTGCAGCCATCTGAGGAGTGAACCAGCAGATGAAAGGCCTCTCGCTCTCTGCCCCTACCTCTCTGAAACTGCCTTTCAAATAAATAAATAAATCTTTTAAAAAAGAAAAAAAAAATCCTCACTGTAATCTTCAAAGCCCTTTTATTGAAAAAAATGAAAAAAAGATGTGTTACAAAACTTTTGACTCAAATGGCCTATAATTCAAGGTCTTGAGGGTTGTGTTGGGTGCTTCGAGCTGCGGGGGCTGTGCTTCGCGTTGTCGTGGGGTGCGCGTAGCCGGTCCGCTCACCCCCTTGCTGCGTTTGGCGTTCTCACAGTGAGCATGTTTCCATCGCAGAAAAGGACACAAACGGAGAAGTCCTGTGGGTGTGGTGCTACCCCCGCACAACAGCCGCCCTCCGCAGCCTGCTGCTCAGGAAGTGCTGCCTGACGCGGGAGAACGCGCTCCTGCACCCTTTTGTCTTCGGTCAGTACAGAAGGACCTGGTTTTACATCATGACAGTTGAAGTTCCAGATTCCTCAGTTCTGAACAAGGTAGGACTGCCCAGGAAACCAAAGGGATGTGAGATCAGGCCGGTTATTCCTGGTTGTTGTGAGTGCGTTGGCAAAGGTTCATTGTTCTTTTCACTGAGAATGTTGTCTTTCACACTTTACGTTCATTTGTTCTAGAATGATACTTGCTGAGCAACACGGCCACTTGTGTCTGATAATCAGAGTAGAAATATAAAAGTGGCTTCCAAGCCGTGACTGCTTAGCAGTGGGAAGTGTTTTTCTATACTTAAAAACTATTATAGAGGATATAATTATCCTTGACACAGTTAAGAAAATCTCTCCTTTGCCTGCATGTGATAAGGGTATATTAAGAATTTATATTGTTGATTAAGGTGAAGGAGTTTAGGATGTCTCTGTCATTCTCTCAACTTTTCAGTATGTTTCAAAATTTTCAAAAGAAAATATCAAAATTCTCTTTAGAAGAAAAAACTAGAGGTTGGGCATTGTGGCGCAGTAGATGAAGCTGCTGCTTAGGATGTTCTCATCCGAAGTGCTAGGCTGAGTCCTGGCTCCCCAGCTTTGGGTCCCGCTCATGTGGCTAGGAGTTGGCACGTGATGGCTTAAGAACCTGGGTTCTTGGGCCGGTGCTGTGGCTCACTAGGCTAATCCTCCGCCTTGAAGCGCCGGCACGCCGGGTTCTAGTCCCGGTCGGGGCACCGGATTCTGTTCCGGTTGCCCCTCTTCCAGTCCAGCTCTCTGCTGTGGCCTGGGAGTGCAGTGGAGGATGGCCCAAGTCCTTGGGCCCTGCACCCCATGGGAGACCAGGAGAAGCACCTGGCTCCTCCCATCGGATCAGCACGGTGCACCGGCCGCAGCGCGGCGGCCATTGGAGGGTGAACCAACGGCAAAGGAAGACCTTTCTCTCTGTCTCTCTCTCTCACTGTCCACTCTGCCTGTCAAAAAAAAAAAAAAAAAAAAAAAAAAGAACCTGGGTTCCTGCCAGCCGTGTGCCGTGCGGGAGACCCAGGTTGAGTTCCTGGCTCTTGGTTTTGGTCTGGCCCAACTCCGGCTGTTGTGGACATTTGGGAAGAGTGGTTGGAAGATCTGTCTCTCCCTTTTTCTCTGTCACTCTGCCTTTCAATTAAATAAAGAATTAAAAAAAAAAGATTTTGGAAAGGATGACTAAGGAAATCCATGTATGACGCAGGGTTTTTTGGTGTATTGCTAGGACCGGTGTCAATGTGATGGATGGAAAACCAGTACCTGGTTGATGTCACTTTGCTAATTCCAGACAGCCAGCAGGGTTTTCAAAGAAAAGCCTAGTGAAAAAGGGGGCTGGGCCTGATGTTTGGATTCCTTTTCCCTTTTCACGGTTAATTTTGTAGCCAATAATGAAACTCTGAATTGTGAGCAGACTACCAATTGAGCATAAAGAATTACATTTAAAGTAACAATTTGGGACTGTTGGCAGGTTAAGACAGAACAGGGAGTGGTGGGTAGGAGCTGTAAATTTGGAGGAGACAGGTGTCCACATAATCTGTCCGATCTTTGGCGGCTGTTGGGCTCCTGTTGAGCTCTTGCGGACAGGCCTCGCTGCTGCCTTGGCTTCGCCGCAGGCTCTGCGTTCCAGGTCGCCAGGTTCAGCTGTACTGAAGCCGCATCTGTGTTTCCCAGATTGCTAAAGTGTATTTCTTCAGTGCTTTGCTTTTTTTTAAAAAAAGTTGTGAATTTTGTCTTGTGGATGGGAACATGATGTGTGTGATCGGGAGTTTCTGTGGTGACAGCTGAGGCATTTATCTGGGGGGCACTTGTTGTGACAGGAACACTGGTGGAGTGGCAGCTCTTGAGAGAGCCGGTTCTTTCAGGAACGGGGTGATTGCCACTAGGACGGATTTTGCTTTTTCCCATCAATGACCGCCAGTTGCTGAATTGAGGGGTATGATTTAGTAATCCTTGTTCTGCTTTGATGAGATTGGGGGAATTAAATAGAAACTCATTTTTTTGATATTTTAGTGAAATAGTTTCATGTTTTTGAAAAAAAAAGAGTTATTTATTTACTTGAAAATCAGACTTACAGAGAGACAGAGGGAGAGACAGAGAGATCTTCCATTTGCTGGTTCACTCTACAAATAGCTGCAATGGCCCAGGCTGGGCCAGGCCAAAGTCAGGAGCCAGGAGCTTTGTCCAGGTCTCCCATGTGGGTACAGGGACCCGAGCACTTGGGCCATTCTCTGCTACTTTCCCAGGCCATTAACAGGGGGCTGGATCAGAAGTGGAACAGCCAGGACTTGAACCAGTGCCCATATGGGATGCTGGCAGCGACTTAATCCACTACACCACAGCGCTGACCCCTTTGAAAAAAAAATTTTAAGAGTATTGCCTTCTTGCATAGGATATATAAAAAAATATATATGTAAATAAATACATGCATAGAAACATTTGCAAACATAAAAAGTATACAGAAGCAAGTGAGGACTTTTTTTTTTTACAATTGTCTTTTTAATGATGGTTTGTCTTGTTCAAGAGGTTTGTTAGAATATAGTAATAAGAACTGATCATATTAAGTGGCTTTACTTTTTTTTGTTTCTTTTGGACAGGTGACTCATTTTTCTATTGTTCTGACCGCCAAAGATTTTAACCCAGAGAAATATGCCGCCTTCACTAGGATATTGTGTAGGTCTGTATGAAAACGGTATTAAATGTGATTTACCAAAATGAAGACCTTACGCAGCAGCCACAGCAGATCTCTGCGCTGAGGGCGCATTTCCGTCCCCTGTCCCCCCAGCCTAATCTGCAACGGCCCCTCGGGACTGTTTTGTGCGGAGGAACTTCCTCTCCTGCCTTATCCATCCTGCTCCTCTTATTTGGGAGAACTGTCTCAGTGTTTGCAGAGCTCTTGTAGTTCCTGGTTACCTGGGTCACTTGTTAGTTTGGTCTGTTATCTCTGCTCACTTCTAATCTGGAACTTTGCCTAGCAGGATGGATAAATTAAATGCCTTATCAAGTGGTAAACTGGCTCATACATGTCAAGGTCTGTGTGTTCTGGAGTCATTCTGGAGAAAGTTAGTGGATATTTGTAATTACGCTGAAGCCCAGGAAACCATTTCCTAGCTGCACTGCTGCAGGTCTGAGAAAGTCTAGTTAATTGATTAATTGTGATTCAAGTAGGTCACTTTAGTTTTATCCCAGATGTTGAAAATATTGATCTAAAATACACCAGTCCACTCTCCCGCCTTGGTGTATACATTTGTGGACCTAATGAAATCATGCTTTTGTGTTAGAACATTGGGGCATCTGAAAGGCTTTGCAAAGTTTTAGTTTTTGGAGATTTGTGTATGTGTGTCACTAGATAGAACTGAAATTCTAGATGATATGTGTCACTGTCAGCTTTCCGGCTCTTGCCCAGTAAGTAGCTTTTACAGGGAGTGAAAGCAATTGTTTGTGTTTTTCCCATAATAAGTAAAGTAAATGGTTATATATTTGCCATTTTTATGCATGTGCAGGCACACACACACACACCCCAACAAAACAAACAAACAAACAAAGCTTGTAGGACTATCTTCTTGTTGCTTAAGGGTTCCAGTTAAAAATGCATTGTGACTAGATGAGGTTTCACTGTTTTTACAGCCACTTTGATAAAAACTTACTGTGGCAAGAAAAATTCCAAGTCTGTGGCCCACTGTGGAATGTAAACAGCGTCCAGTTAATGCGGCCCTGACATGGAGGGAGATTACTATCACCAGAGGAGACGCTGTCCAGAAGCCATGAATTCAAAACACCGCAGAGATGTTTTTGGACCTCTGGACTCGCGTGTCGTTTGACTGAGTCAGGGTTGGGATACCGAGCTGAACTCGTGGGGAAATAGCCTGGGATGCAGAAGGCAGAACTGTCCCAGCCTGGTGGGTCTCTGGGCATCGGCAGTGCCACGGCATCATTGCATTCTGGGTTCTGCTCTCCAAGAGAAGTGAGGGCTGAAGGCTACTGCCAGCCACCTCCTCAGCCTCCGGCCCCTTAGACACTTGAGGCTCACCCTTGTGTGCACGTACACCCGCGTGCTCCTGCAGATGCACACGTCCCACCCACACATGTCTGCGTGCCCGTGTACACGCTCCTAGATAGACAGTGTTCATGCTGGTGAGGGTCATGTGGACTTGCTCCCTTCCAGTTCTGGTGAGAGGGGCTGGCCAGTGTGCTCACAGTGGCAGTGGAAGCTATGTGGGAAGTCCCCCCTTCACCCTCTACACCTTCCAACCTTCCTGCTCACCTGTTTTTGTTTTTTTGTTTTTTTTGTTTTTTTTTTAAGATTTATTTATTTATTTGAAAGAGTTACAGAAAGGAAGAGAGAAAGTGAGTAAGCAAGCTTCCATCCGCTGGTTCACTCCCCAGATGGCTGCAACCGCAAGGGCTGGGCCAGGCTGGGGCCAGGAGCCAGGAGCCAGGAGCTGCTTCTTGGTCTCCCACATGGATGCAGGGATCCAAGCACTTGGGTCTTCCTTCACTGCTTTCCCAGGTCATCAGCAGAGAACTGGATTGGAAGTGGAGCAACCAGGTCTCGAACTGGCACCCATGTGGGATGCTGGTGCCTCAGGCAGAGGTTTTACCCACTACGGCACACACTGACCCACAGCTCACCTTCACATAACTCCTGTGACCTCTCTGTAGCCTACCAGAGACTTTTTTCTCTCTATCCATGTGTATGACTTCTTGGGTTTGAATGTATTTTCTATACAGGAGCGCTTACAATATTCATTATCCTCTACCTGTTTCTCAGTATGTAGATTAAAATGGAAAAAACAAAGAACAAAAACCCAAGCCCTGATGATTGCCAGGATTTATGAAGCAGTTAAAACACTTGTTTTTTTAACTTCATCTATATACATAATTTTCAGATGATCTGTTTTAAGCATCAGTTTTGTTTTCTTCCTGATTTTCTACCCCACGAGCTGATGAAGGACCCAGTAGACACAGTCGTGTTTCTCAAGCAGAATTTATTTTTAGTTGCTCAAGGGAAGGGATTTCAAGGGGAGGAGGCTGGCTCCACATGTGAGCTCTAAACCCAGACAGTTTCCTGTCAGCAGTTTCTGGAAGTTTTGACTTGATGGCAAATGTCTCTAGTAGCACATTTATCCCTGGAAACTTAAGAGTTTTTATTTCTCAATTATCTAAAAATAGCTACCTCTGGGAACTCTGATAATAAGTATGAGTTCTACAGCTAATTACTGCTTTCTCTGTGAACAATGCATAAAACTGCTTTCTTGTCAGTGGGAATCCCAGCAATAAAACACAGTTGGGTGTCTAAGAACGCCAGTTGTGAGCATTAGACATGAAAGGGGATGAGTCTGCGACATTCTTGAGAGGAGTGGGGCCCCAGCTCGCCCAGTCCACCCTCCTGCCCCAGGGCACCACAGCAGGCCTCCCCAGGTAAAGGAGAGAGCTGACTTCAAAGAACAGAGAGCTGTCAAATGGTTTTTACTCAGACTTTTTCTAACCGAATTAGGGCAGTCAAATGTACTCTTGTGTCACGAAAAGACCCAGGCATTCGGAAGTACAGCAGCAAGTGGGCTTTAGATTCTTGACAAGTGACCCGTGCCCAGCCCTGGGGCGTTTCTCCACGTGACTCCTCTCAAACAGACGCGCGGTTGCTTTGTGTCCTTTCTTGCAGAATGTACCTGAAGCATGGGAGCCCAGTTAAGATGATGGAGAGCTACATCGCAGTTCTCACCAAGGGAATATGCCAGAGTGAAGAGAACGGCTCCTTCCTCAGTAAGGACTTTGATGCCCGAAAGGCCTACCTTGCGGGCTCCATCAAAGGTAAAAAAAGAAGAAAAAAAGAAAAACCCATAGCAACACCAGAATCCCTGAGCCAAGATTAATCTCTCCTTTGGCTCGGTTACACCATTTTTCCATCCATTGCTCTCACCTCTGTAACATTTATTTCCCACACAGAGAACTTCAACTCTGGTTCTCCTCACTCAGTCAGAATTCTCAGAGGAAAACAGATTTTTGTGGTGTTCCTGTCCACATTATTCTGTTGTTGTAGAAATGTTCTTTTTTTTTTTTTTTTTTTTTTTTAAGTATTTATTTATTGCAAAGACAGGGAGGGAGGATTTCCCATCCACTGGTTCACTCTCCAAATGCCCATAGCTAGAGCTGGGCCAGGCCTACACCAGGAGCCTAGAACTGCATCCAGGTCTCCCTCTAGGGTGGAGGGACCAGGACTTGAGCCATCACCTGCTGCCTCTCAAAGTCTGCATTAATAGGAAACGAGTCAAGAGGGGGGCTGGGACTGACCCAGGCACTCCAGTATTAGATGTGGGTGTCCCGAGTGACTTCTTAACCACTGTCCCCATGCCCCCCACTGTACTGAAGTTCCTTACTCAGTCAACTGAATTGCATGGCTCGAGGCCTCCGCTGACTTGCATAGTTTTTCTTTCCTTAAATCTTAGCATTGACATCTTCCACCTGGGGACCTCAAGTCCCATCCCAGACTCCTTAATTTAGCTCCCAGCTGAGAACTCCAGGGCTAAGCCGTAGAATTTAGAGTCTGATGGCAGGAGGAGAGGGGAACTCCGACGCGATTCTGCCCTTTTCACCTCCTCCCAGCCGCCTGTCTTTGCTCCTGCTCCTGCTCCTGCTGCCCTTTGTGGTTTGTAAGCGTCCCTGTCGAGGTGTTAGACCAAAAGGCCTTGAGTAGTGACATAAGGAAGGTGCTGGTAGACAGTCTTTTTCTTTTTAAAATTTTGTTTGTTTTCATCTACTTGAACGTCTTGAGTGAGAGAGAGGAGAGAGAGAGGGAGAGTGCTTTTATCCACTGGTTCATTCCCCAAAGCCTGCAACAGCCGTGGTTAGGCCGGTCTAGAGCCAGGAATTCCATCTGGGTCTTCCTGGTGGATGGCAGAGGCCCAAGCGCTTGAGCCATCATCTGCTGTCTCCCAGGATTTATTAGCAGGAAGCTGGATCAGAAGCAGAATAACCGGGACTGGAACCAGCACCACAGTATGGGATGCAGGCATTCCAAGTGGTAGCTTAACCCACTGCACCACCGTGTGCACCCTGTTTTTAAAAACTTTATGTTTTTGAGAAGCAGAAAGCACGGAGAGAGAAAGGGCTCCCACCTGTTGATTCACTCCCCAAATGCTTGCAATGGCTGGGGTGGGCCAGGGCCAAAGCTGGGAGCTCAATTTGTGTCTCCCAAAGGGTGGCAGAAACCCAGCTGCTTGAGCCATCACCACTTCCTCCCAGGGTTCACGTTGGTAAGGAGTTGGAGTCAGGAAGCGGAGCAGGAATGTAACGGAGGTAATCCAAATGGGAAACAGGCATCTTAACCACTAGGTGAAATGCCCATTCCTGGAGTCTTTTTTAAATCAGAAGTTTTTATGATACAGAAAGATGCTGGTCCCCCAGAGGCAGCCATAACCCATCCTGGCAAGCAGCTAGCCAGATCCATCCACCAAGTAAGGAGCAGTTGTGCTTATGTCATTGGCCTAAACTTGTTCTCTGTATTAAAAATCATTTGTAGGGGCTGACATTGTGGCACAGCAGGTTAAGCCACTGTTTGCTACAGCAATATAGCAAGTCCTGACTGCTCTGCTTCCAATCTAACTTCCTGCTAATGTGCCTGGGAAATCAGTGGAAGATGGCCTGCGTACTTGGGCCATTACCACCCACATGGGAGACATGGATGGAGTTGGCTTTGGGCTGTACCTGCCCTGGCCTTTGTGACCATTTGGGCATTGAACCAATGGATGGGAGATCTCCGTCTCTCCCTCTCTCTCTCTCTCTCACTCTTTCAAATACATACATACATAAATCTTTGTAAAAAATAATTTCGGGTGGGGGGATTTTTGGCCTAGTTAAGACACCAGTTAGGACATCTGCATCCCTCAGTAGAATACCTGGGTTCAATACCTGACTATGGCTTCCTGCTGATGCCAGCCCTGGGAAGCAGTGATGGTGGCTCAGGTCACTCAGTTCCTGCCACCACATAGGAGATCTGGTTTGAGTTATCTGACCCTTGGCTTCAGCTTGGCTCAAACCCCATCACCGAGGGCATTTGGGGAGTGAACAGTGGATGTGTGAACTCTGTCTCTCAAATGATAAAAATACATTTGATAAAGAATTTTTCACTTACGAATTCTTTCTGATAAAAAGTTTATGTCCTGGACTGCTACGGCAGTTAAGGTTCCATTTGGGTGGCCTGCATCTCATACCAGAGGGCTTGGCTTTGAGTCCTGGCTCCACTTCCGTTCCAGCTTCCTGCAGTACACACCCTGGGAGACAGCAGGTGATGGCCCAAGTCCTGGGGTCCCTGCCACCCACACGGGAAACCTGAATTGAGTTCCAGCTCCTGGCTTCAGCCTAGTCCAGCTTCAGCTGTTGCAGTCATTTGGGGAGTGAACCAATGGATGGAAAACATCTGTCTGTCCTTCTGTCTCTGTCTCTGTCTCTCTCTTTCTCCCTTTCAAATAAATATAAATTAAATTTAAAAAATGTTTAGATGTTTATGTTCATACATACTATTTAATATATTAACTTTTTTTTAAAGACATTGTATCTCAGTTTGGAATGGAAACTATAATCTTACACACTGCGCTGATGCTCAAGAAAAGAATCGTCGCCTATCATCCCAAAATAGAAGCTGTCCAGGAGTTTACCAGGTGCTGTCTCTGTCACTCGGAAGTGTGAGCTTTGTTGGCACTTTGGGGCAGTAGATGTCACCGTTCTGTTGTAAATTTGGTATAAATAGCATGTGTAACCATTTTGGTCTAATGTTTCAGTTAAATCTAGTAGTTCAAGGTCACTGAATTTGGGCATATTATTTTCTAACTTTAGAAATGTGACTATTTGAGGGCAAGGGGTTAGCAAACTTTTCCTTGTCAGAGAATAAATATGTTAGGCCTGTCAGCCATCTGATCCCTGTGCCAACCACTCAACTGCCTGGGTAGCACAAAAGCAACCGTAGACAATCCACGTGTAAATGAATGGGTATGGCTTGTTCAGGAAACTATTTATAAAGACAGGCAGCTTGGCCGGCGCCGCAGCTCAATAGGCTAATCCTCCACCTTGCAGCGCCGGCACACAGGGTTCTAGTCCCGGTCGGGGCGCCGGATTCTGTCCCGGTTGCCCCTCTTCCAGGCCAGCTCTCTGCTGAGGCCTGGGAGTGCAGTGAAGGGTGGCCCAAGTGCTTGGGCCCTGCACCCCATGGGAGACCAGGAGAAGTACCTGGCTCCTGCCATCGGATCAGTGCGGTGCGCCAGCCACAGCATGCCAGCCGTGGCAGCCATTGGAGGGTGAACCAACGGCAAAAGGAGGACCTTTCTCTCTGTCTCTCTCTCTCACTGTCCACTCTGCCTGTCAAAAAAAAAAAAAAAAAAAAAAAAAAAAGGCAGGCAGCTGGCCCACAGGCCATCGCTCGCTGTCCCTTGTTTGAGGTGTTATTCCTTCTGTTCAGTTTTACCAAAGACTATATATACATCAGGCTTGATTTACTAAGTCTAACTTGTTTTGGATGTTTAAAAATAAAGGGGGGGGGGGGAGTTGGCATTTGTGCTGGGTATACCGAGTACAGGGCATTACATGAGACATCTAAATTATCAAATTTACTCATGACAAGAACCCTACAAGGCGGTACTATTACTCTGTTTTAGGAATGAAAAGATAGGTTTGAGGAAGCTGGGTGCTGAGACACTGAAAGAAGAAAATCCTGGGAGGGCACAAGATGGGAAGCAGCGCCTAGGCCGCGCCTGCCGGTGCTGCACGCTTCAGAACCGCTGTCAGATCCGCAGTCAGAGTGCCGGCACGTTCACCCTGCTCTCTCTGGCTCCGAGCCCCAGCAGCCTTTCCCATGGCTTTATGCTTATTAATCTGAGATGGGTGACACAAAGCCCACGTGAATTGGGCACATCTCCTGGTAGCAGTTGTTTTACCACGAGTGTTTTTAGTTAGGAAACTTATGTTGTATGAAGACAAACACAACACGGTCTGCAAGTTTGCCTGGAGTTTTAAATATAGATGAGAGACTTCCTGAGAGGTTCGTGCTCCGGGAGGCCACTTTGGACTTCACCCGCGCATCCACTTGTCGCGGCAGCCCGCAGAGCGGGATGTTTGCAGGGAAGCTTTGTGTCACTGCTTGCCTCTGTGCAGAGCTCTGGAAAATTCACCTCGACCCCTTTGTAGCTAATGTGACACAAAAAGTGGGATCTGAAGCATGACATTACTTCGATTTGCAGCCGGGAGGTGCTTGTCAGCATTTCTGGGGTACGGTCAAGGTTTCTACCTTCTAGAAAAGAGAAGAAGGCTGAGTATCCCAGGTGTGGGCCAGCCGCCATTTGAGTTCTTGTTTTGATTTCCCAGGACTCTGCCTGCCCTGGTGTGGCATCGCCAGGACTGGTCCATCCTCCATCCCTACGTACACCTCAATGCCGATGAACTGGACGCCTTGCAGACATGTACAGGTAGACCAGAGGAGCCCAGGGGAGGAAGTAATCTGATTTAAGGAGGGTTATTTTTGTTGTTGTTGCTTCATTGTTTTTATGCATTCCTAAGGGAGCTACTGATCATTTATTATCTCTTTAAAAAAATGCAGTTCGTAAATAAATTTTTAAAGATTGTTTTATTTATTTGAAAGGCAGAGAGACAGAGCAAAAGATGGAGTGAGATCTTCTGTCTGCTGGTTCATAGCCCAAATACCTACAACAGCTGGTGTTGGGCAAGGCTGAAGCCTGGAGCTGTGGACTCAACTTAGGTCTCCCATGTGGATGGCAGGCATCCATGTACTGGAGGGGTCCCAAACGGTGCCCTAATTGCTGCAGCAATGTCTACCCACTGCCCCATCTTTTTTTTTTTTTTAAGATTTATTTAGTTATTTGAAAGAGTTACAGAGAGAGAGAGAACTCTATCTGCTATTTCACTCCTCAAATGGCTACAACAGCCATAGCTGAGCGGATCAGGAGCCAAGGAGCCAGGAGCTTCCTCGGCATCTCCCACGTGGATGCAGGGCCAAGAACTTGGGCGTCTTCTGCTGCCTTTCCAGGGACATCAGCAGGGAGCTGGATCAGAAGTGGAGCAGCTACCAGCACTGCAGGTGGAAGCTCACCTGCTGCACCACAGCGCCAGCCCCGCCCCGTCTTAGCCATCTTAAGTATACAGTTCAGTGGTATTCAGTACGCACTTTGTTATGCAGCCATCACCAAAATGCAGCCTATTCTTTTTTTTTTTTTTAATTTATTTGAAAGGTAGGGTTATAGACAGTGAGAGAGAGATACAGAAAGGTCTTCCTTCCATTGGTTCACTCCCCAAATGGCTGCTACGGCCGGCACTGCATCTCTCCGAAGCCAGGAGCCAGGTGCTTCCTCCTGGTCTCCCATGCAGGCGCAGGGCCCAAGCACTTGGGCCATCCTCCACTGCACTCCCGGGCTACAGCAGAGAGCTGGACTGGAAGAGGGGCAATCGAGACTAGAACCCAGTGCCCACATGGGATGCCGGCACCGCAGGTGGAGGATTAACCAAGTGAGCCACGGCGCCGGCCCATGCAGCCTGTTTTCAACTTGTAACGTTCTGACCCCACAAGTGTCCCTATCAGTGATTTCAGTGATTTGATTTTGAATAGTTAGTCTTTATTGTGAGTCTTCCCACATATTTTTCTCAAAGAAAAGCTACAGTTATTTTTAGATACTATTATATAAGAGAACTTCATAAATTTCACAGAAATGAAGTTAAAAGATGTTATTTTGGTGTGGAAATTTTTGAAATCCAAAATATTATTTTTCAATATCCCCAAAATATTTTTTTTTCAAAAGATTTATTTATTTTGAAAGTCAGTTACAGAGAGAGAAAGAGAGACAGAGGGAGAGAGAGATCTTCCATCTGCTGGTTTCCTTCCCCAGTTGGTCAGACCAAAGCCAGGAGCTTCATCTAGTCCCCCACATGGGTAGCAGGGGCCCAAGCATTTGGGTCATCCTCCTCTGCTTTTCCCAGGTCATTACCAGAGAGCTGGATTGGAAGTGGAGCAGCCAGGATGTGAACTAGGGCCTATAGGGCTTTCATGCCACAGTGTGGGCCCCAATTCAGTTTTTGTTGTTGTTTTTAAAGATATTTATTTATTTGAGAGGTAGCTACAGACAGAAGGAGAGACAGAGAGAAAGGTCTTCCGTCTGCTGGTTCACTCCCCCAAATGGCCACAATGGCTGGAGCTGAGCCCATCTGAAGCCAGGAGCCAGGAGCTTCTTCTGGGTCTCCCATGCGGGTGTAGGGGCCCAAGCACTTGGGCCATCTTCCACTGCTTTCCCGGGCCACAGCAGAGAGCTGTATCGGAAAAGGAGCAGCTGGGACATGAACTGGCCCATGTGGGATGCTGGTGCTGCAAGCAGAGGCTTAGCCCTCCAAGCCACAGCACCAACCCCCCTTACAGGCATTTGAGAAGTGAACCAGTGGATGGGAGCTTACTCTCTCCCTTCTCTCTCTTTCTCTGTCCCTCTGCTTCTCAGGTAAATAAACCTTTAAAAAATAAATAAATCCCCATGGATCCACAGACAGATGGAGAGTGGAGTAATGAGGTGCATCCTCTGCCTGCCCATCGCATCTGCCTTTTCCTGCCCAGAGTCTGTCCGCCTCTTGAATGTCTCTGTTGTAGCCATCTGGGAAGTGACCCACAGATGGAAGATCTTTCTCTCTTTCTCTCTCTCTCTCTCTGCAATTCTGCCTTTCAAGTAAGTAAATAAGTCTTTTAAAATATTTAAAATAAAAAGTAAATTGTTTTCCAGCTTGGTGGATGTATACTGGTACATCATTATGGTTTTAATTTGTATTTCTGTTATTCCTAATGTATATTTCTGTGTTTCTGCCATTTGTATTTCCTCTGCTGTAAAATGACTGCTTTTTTAAAAAAATTATTTTTCCATTTTTTTCTATTGATTCATAGAAGTTCATTATATATTCATGATATGACTCCATTGTTGCTCCTCAAAGATTTGCAGGTTTCTAGGTTTTTTGTTGTTGGTGTTCAGATGGAAGACTTCTCTCTCCCTCTGTCTTACCTCTCTTTGTAACTCTGCCTTTAAAATAAATCTTTTTTAAAAATTGTAATATATTGCTCTACGAAATAAAAAATGACTGGGAACCATTATCTTAAGATCAGTTGCAGGCCGGCGCCGCGACTCACTAGGCTAATCCTCCGCCTAGCGGCGCCGGCACACCGGGTTCTAGTCCCGGTCGGGGCGCCGGATTCTGTCCCGGTTGCCCCTCTTCCAGGCCAGCCCTCTGCTGTGGCCAGGGAGTGCAGTGGAGGATGGCCCAGGTGCTTGGGCCCTGCACCCCATGGGAGACCAGGAAAAGCACCTGGCTCCTGGCTCCTGCCATCGGATCAGCGCGGTGCGCCGGCCGCAGCGCGCCGGCCGCGGCGGCCATTGGAGGGTGAACCAACGGCAAAGGAAGACCTTTCTCTCTCTCTCTCTCACTGTCCACTCTGCCTGTAAAAAAAAAAAAAAAAAGATCAGTTGCAGAAACCTGCTAATTCCTGAGTGACCCTGTATTCTTTCGCACGTGTAGTACCAGTCAGATCTGAAAGGAGGGAGATTCTGCCGTTTCCCCGTGATTTCTCTGAGAGCCCAGGCATGCAGTGGCTCCTGGGGTAGAGACCTGCATGCAGTGACTCCTGGGGTAGAGACCTGCATGCAGTGACTCCTGGGGTAGAGACCTGCATGCAGTGACTCCTGGGGTAGAGACCTGCATGCAGCGGCCCCTGGGGTAGAGGCCTGCATACAGTGGCCCCTGGGGTAGAGACCTGCATGCAGTGGCCCCTGGGGTAGAGACCTGCATGCAGTGGTTCCTGGGGTAGAGACCTGGAGGAGGAGCATTGGTTATGTGAATCCCTGCCACCTTCTGCCTTGTCTGGTGTTCTTGACACAGATTGGAATGACTGAGAAGTGAATGTTTTATTTCAGCCTTGTTCCTTGATGCTGGGGTCTAATTTTGGAAAATTTTAATTGTGTGAATTTCTTCAGGCAACTGACACTAATGTATTTTTTTAATAAACATCTTTTCATTCATTTTCCAATGACTTTTTAATTTATTTGAAATACAGATTACAGAGAGAGGTAGAGACAGAGAAAGAGAGAGAGGTCGTCTATCCTCTGGTAATCCCCAAATGGCCGCAACAGCTGGAGCTGAGCCTATCCAGAGCCTGAAGCCTCCGGGTCTCCCACAGGATGCAGGGACCCAAGGACTTGGGCCATCCTTCAGTGCTTTCCTAGGCACACTGGCAGGAAGCTGGATTGGGAGTAGAGCAGCCAGGACTTGAACCAGCGCCCATATGGGATGCCAGTGCTTCAGGCGGGGCTTTAACCTGCTGTGCCATAGCGCCGGCCCCATTAATGTAATCGTAATAAATGCCGCAAGGTACAGTTAGTGTTCTGTAAGGAAATAAAACTGGGAAGAACAGAAAAGCAGCTGAACTTCCAGACTTCATTCTTCATCACTCCGGTGACGTTGGTTGTGTTTGCAATGCAGGTTACGTGGCTGGATTTGTGGACTTGGAGGTGAGCAACAGACCGGACCTCTACGATGTGTTTGTGAATCTGGCAGAGAGTGAGATCACCATTGCCCCGCCTGCGAAAGGTCAGTTCTCTGTCCTGCCATTGAGATACAGGCCAGCTGGTTATGTTTTTCAGGCTGATTCTCCAAACCCGGTGTTTGAGGGCCTGCTGGAGCTGGCTTCTTCAGTGTCTGGAACTTAGCGATGTGGACACGTTGGCTGCGCCGCAGCGGGCTCAGCGGTCCGTTCATTTTGTTCCTCCACCTTTGTGCTAAAACTGCGTGTGTCATCTATGGCTGCATATGTCCCCTCAGACCGCAGTGGTTCTAAAACAGCCAGGATGTATTTCCTCACAGGGCTGGCGGGTCAGGAGTGACGGCTGAGTGACCGGCAGGGCTGGGGTTGTCCGAAGGCTCCGCTGAGGCTGGAGGATCTGTGTCCAGGCCAGCGTGCATGGCTCTTGGCAGCAGCCGCCTTCGGTTCCCCGCTGTATGGGCCCCTCCATAGGGCATCTTGAATGGTGTGACGACATGACAGCTGCTTCCCGAGAGAGAGGGCTGGAGGCCGCAGTGCCTCTCAAGACCTGGCCTCGGAAGTCGCATTTACCTCCTGCATGTGCGGCTTGTCAGGAACGAGGGGCGTCAGAGCACACTGGAGAGGAGAGGGAGGAGTCCCTTCCCCTCCCGCAGGGAGGTGCGTCAGGACCGTGGGGACATCACTACGATATGGAGTCGCGTGTGACTCCTGGGGCGAATCTCTGAAGGATGTCGCAGTAAGCACGTGGAATGGAAGTGTTCTTGGAGCTGAATTCCAGAAAAAGTCTTCCGTACCACAGGCAGGTGTCAGTTGTCTAAATCAGAGACAGAGCGGCAAGGATGGGGTTAACGGCTGCTGTGCGCAGGGCACTCCTCAGATTAGGTACTGGTTTTAGATGGGATAGCTGATAATAGCTTTTGTGTTGTCGCTTGCCTTGCTCCTACAAAGGACTGGAAAGGGTGGCCAGTGCCCTGCTGCCTCCTCTGGCTCTGGGTCTCTACAGCGGGCTCATCACAGTCAGCACTGTTCGATTGCAGTTTGTCCGTTGTGGTCACAAGCAGGAGTTGCGGTCACAAACGACAGTTCCTGTTCATGTCCTGCAGACAGTGGCCTGTATGTAACTCCGAGAAGCAGCTGTTTCCTTGGCTCATTTCCAAGGGCCCTAAGGCCGGGACTGCTCAGCCTCAGCCGGCCTCTGCAGAACTGACGGGAAGTGCTGCTGCCACAGCATTGCTGCACGAAAGATACGTTTACATTTTTAACTGAAGACCTGGCGAGAAGTCGGGCTCTTGATTGAAGTCACAACTCACTCATCAGTTTTTCCCTGGGTTTTGTTTGAAAAGAAAAGTAGAATTGCTTGTCAGGTGGGTGTGAAGGGGAGGTTTGGTTTGGGATTGATATGTTTTCCTTCGGGCCAAAAAGTATATAAATTGTGACCATGCCTTCCCGCTGCCATGGGATCATGTTTATGTTCAGTAGTAAAATGGAAAGGCGGGGTCAGCAGCTGTGTTTGAGAATTCCCTCAGGTTTGCAGGTAGATGGAACGATTGCTTTTTGTTAGTAGACTTCTACTTAGTCCCATCATATCTTGATCTCACCAGAGGCCATGGCCATGGGAAAACTGCACAAAGAAATTGGTCAGCTAATTGTCCAGTCTGCAGAAGATCCAGAGAAGTCCGACAGCCAGGTTATACAGGTACGGCCCCCGTCTTCCCACTTAGCCAGAGTCCTGCCGTGGCCCGGGGGTGGGGTGGTCAGCGCCTGGCAGAGCTGCGGCTGCGCACATGTGCACGGTGAAGGCAGGTGCTCCGAGGACGGTTTGCAGGGCGGCCGCAACGGTGATGGCTGAGCAAGCATAGTATGACCGTGGCCCACCAGTTATGTGTGTGAGTGCAGTGGATGAATGGAAAATAAGAAGTGACAAGATACTTGGGAGCCATGACGGAAACTAGGGGTGGAGGTAGGGATGACGGGGGCGGGGATAAGAAAGCTCTGAGTGAGGGCGGAGGGCGTTCTGCAGGGCTTGGCTGAGACTCGCCAGCAGTGCAGTTCTTGCTCAGTGCAGCCGTGGCCAGGAAGAGGGGCGAGGTCTTGTCATCACTGTCCCCATCCTCGCATCACCAGCATAAAGGCACGTCCTCTTCACAGTGTAGATGAAACATGTGAATGCTTGTGTTGCACATGGACTGCAGGTGATGCACAGATAACTCAGTGTCATGTCTGAGACCTGGGGAGGGGGAGTGACGGTGCCCAGCAAGGTGTAGGGAGTCAGAAGTGTCCGAATGAACAGGTGATGTCAGCGGCGTTAGTCACAAAGCCGAAAAGCAGGAGCAGCCCAGGTGCCCTTCCGGACGGACGAGTGGGTAAACACAATGTGGTGTCTGCACCGTGGAACATGGAACATGACAAGATGCTCCCCAACACATGCTGCAGACTTCAGCAGATGCCGAAGGGCAGGTTTTCCGGGTCCCACTAACATGAGGGGCCTCACATGGGTGCATGCAGAGGGTCCCAGGGGCTGAGAGGGAATATGGGTGGTTATTTGGGTTTTGGGTTTATTTGGGGAGGTGGGGTGGGTGTGTTTAAAGACATGATCTATTTATTTGGTTGAGGCACAGAGAGCTGTTATCTGCCGGGCCCATTCCTCAGATGTCCACAACAGCTAGGGCTAGTCTGGGCCCACCCCAGACGCGGGAACACAGTCCAGATCTGCAGGTGGCAGGAGCCCAATACTTGCCATGACTGCTGCCTCCCAGGGCCCACATTAGCTAGAAGCTGGGATTGGAGCTGGAGCCAGGATCGAATCCCAGGAGTCTCACGTGGGACTGCGGGTGTGCTGCTGGCGTCCCGACTGCCAGGCCAGCTGCCGTCCCGGGAGTCACTTGTGCCAGCGTGTCTGTTTGGGATGGTGAAGCGGTTCTGGAAATGATGGTTGCATAATGTGCACGTGTTTAATGATGTTGGATGATGTACTTGAAATGGCGAAAGTGTTAAAAAAGTCTGTGACACTGATTTTTCTGTTATTTTTAAGTTAGCCTCCTAATTTATGAAATTAGTCTGATAAAATGAAAAATAGACGGGCGGCACTATGGCACAGGGTTAATCCTCCGCCTGCAGTGCCGGCATCCCATGTGGGCGCTGGTTCGAGGTCCAGCTGCTTCTGATCCAGCTCTCTGCTATGGCCTGGGAGGGCAGTGGAGGATGGCCCAGGCGCTTGGCCCCTGTACCCGCTTGGGAGACCTGGAGGGAGCTCCTGACTCCTGGCTTCGGATCGGCTTGGCTTCGGCCATTTGGGGAGTAAACCAGCGGAAGGAAGACCTTTCTCTCTGTCTCTCTCTTCCTCTCACTGTCTGTACCGCTACCTCTCAAATAAATAAATAAAATCTTAAAAAAAAAAAAAAATAGGCCACCAGAGTTTAAAAAGTAGCAGAAATAAGTCTAGAGACCTGGGTCCGGTTTGAGGATAGTAACGTGCTACGTGTTTTCTTGTTCTATTAAAGGATATCGCCCTAAAGACAAAAGAAATCTTCAGCAGCCTGGCCCCGCTCTCCGAGGTTTCGGGTGACGGAGGGAAGCCGGTCCTCCGGGTCGAGGCACTGAAGCAGAAGCGGTTCCCGCCGGCCACAGAGAACTTCCTGTACCACCTGGCAGCGGCCGAACAGATGCTGCAAACCTGAGCGCCCGCGGCCCTGCGCCGGGCCGCTGCCCGCTTTCACTCTCGTCACCAGGAACTATGGGAGATAACACGCAAATGATCTGTTTTTAATGATTTACTTGCAAGTTTGAGATTTGACCTGAAAACACTGAAACTCATGAATGTGTTTGTGATTGTTCCCCGCTCATCCGCTCCCTGCCTGCTGTCCGAGGCGGACGAGGTGCCCTAACACGTGACATCTGAAAGCTGCCGGTGCCCGTGGCCGCCGCGCGCTCACGCAGCTCGCCCCTGTCGTGAGCCCGCCGCCAGGTTTTCTGCAGCGCTGTGGCGAGCGCGGGTCAGCGGGAGCCCCCTGCAGGTGCACTCTCCTGTTCTCGGCCTCTGAACACTTTAGCTTCTGAGGGTTTTGCATCGGGGTTATTCTCGGGTTGCCAACTTTCGTAATCCATATTGTTATGGCCACGGAAGCCTCTGACAGCCGAGAGGCGTCACTGCTCTAACCCCGTGTTCTTTGAAGACTGGGGTCCTGTGCGGTGGCTTTCGCGCCCTCGGGAGGGAGTGGGAGGATCCACCCTCAGGGGCCACCCCAGAGGGTGTCTCGAAGCCACCACATAGCGAGCTGACTGCGCCTGTCCCGTCAGGGTCCTTCCCGTAGGCGGAGACCTTAAACTCGCCAAGGGAGCAGAGGTGGGTTCCCCACGCGTCATTTCCGTCCCTGTGTCGTTAATGAGGAAAGATGGCTTTACCCAGGACTGTGTCCTTCGAAATCTTACCGGGAAACACGCGTGCAAAAATGTCTTTATTGGATCTGTCACTTTTACTGAGAGTGTTGGGCATTGGTTTAAAAAAAATAGCCTTTTCTCCGTCCCTCTTGGGTGGGAACGGGGGAGGACCTGAAGTGAGACGCTGACTGAGGCCGGCAGTGGGACACTGAACCTGCACTTTATGGAAGTGAATACTAACATTTTCACACATTAGCGAACAAAGTTGTTAAAATTATAAATTCATGTTGTAGAAATAAAATGGAAAATATTTTGATACTTCACTAAGTTTTAGTCTTAGGTGAAGAATTGTGCCCATTTCCTCCAAATCTGACCCCAATCAAAAGGAAAAATCTTTTTACCAAGTGCACAGACTTTTGGCCACCCACCCCCCCCACCCCCCGTGGCCACTCGACTCCGCCCCTTCTCTCCCCCTGCCCCGCCCTCCCAGAGCTGCCTCTGCGGCTTCGAGCCTTCGCTCCCTGGAAGAGCGCCTGGAAGCCGGACTCCGTCACCGGCCGCTGGCCCAGCCTCCATCTGGCTCTGCCTGTGGCTGCACCAAGCCACCTGGCAGCTCCTCCTCACCGATTTTGTCTCTTTAGATTGCTCTGCAACTCCTTTGACCCAGTCTGGGAACAGCCACCATCCTGGCCAGGGACAAGTGAAAGGCACGGGTGCGGGTGTTGGTGACTGGGACCAGGGTACTTTGAAAACATTCCTTAGCACACGACGTTCGGGTGCGTGACATCCAAGGGCAGTCGCGATGGGCAGCACGGGCCCTGTTGTGGAGGCTCGGCCGGCAGGCTTTTGCGATAGTGTGGTCAGGACTAGACCCAATATGGGGAATAGGGTGAGCACATAGCAGGAACCCCTCATTCAGTACCGCGAATCTCAGAAGGCCTCCTGGAGGCAGCAGTCCACGTCCAAGGAAAACCTGAAGGTAAGCGGAACAGCTTGTATGAAGGCCCAGAGAAACCACAGCCCCTGTGAGGAACTGGGTACAGACCCAGGGTGAGGAGAGCAGTGGCAGAGGCCAAGGCCCTGGTCTGCGGGGGGAGGGATTTGGCCTGGCTCCTGACAAGGGACGCCACTGAAGGCCCCTAGCAGGTGTCCTTGGAAGAGCAGGCTGGCGCGGACTGAGGGACCCACACACGGCAGGAGGGAGTCATCCCAGCAGGGGGTGCTGTTGCACTGAGCCTCGTGGCCGCAGCGGCCACCGGAGGGAATTCCCCGACTTGACTGCATCAGGCCTGAGCTAGAGCATGGGGGAGGGGAGGGTACAGGTGAGGCCAAGGATCCTGATGCTCCTGGCTAGTGGTGCTGCCGTCTCCTGAGGTGGGGAGAGCTGATCTCCACCTCGGCTGCGTGCAGCTGGAGGTATTGTGGATGCCGCGGCAAAAGCCCAGGACCAGGCTGAGGGTGGCAGTGTGACACCGTGGTCAGGGATGACAGCAGGCCAGCAGAATGGGAGACGGGGCCAAAACAGCCAGCGGCAGACAGCTCTAGTCTGGCCGTGAGGGGGTTTTTTCTGACTGACTTGAGAGGCAAACAGCTCCCATGTGCTGGTTCGTTCCCCAGCGTCAACAGCCAGGGCCAGGAATGCATCCAGGACCCCAGCGTGGGTGGCAGCGACCAGATCACCACTCATCACTGCTGCCCCCCGGGGTCTGCATGGGCCCGGAGCTGACCCCAACACTCGGGTATGGGACACGGGCACGTAACCACCAGGCTAAGTACTTACTCTGGGCTCCTTCGATAGGGCAGGTGACGACAGCAATTTATTTAATACTTTTTATTATTATTTTTACTTGAAAGGCAGAGACAGAGCAAGATCTTTCACCTGCTGGGTCACTCCCCAAATGCCCACAACAGCATGGGCTGAGCCAGGCAAACCCGGGAGCCAGGAATTCATCAAGTCTCCAATGTGGGTGCAGGGACCCGAGAACTGGAGCCATCACTTGCTGCCTCTCAGTGTGTGTGTGTTTTTTTTTTTTTTTTTTTTTTTAATTGCAGCGGTTTAAATGACACTGGGAAGGAGGCGGTGAGGGAGGCTGGGACCAGACAGGAGGGCAGAGCAAGGCCCCGAGGAGAGAGAAGACCCAGAGCCTGGGGGAGCGCTGACCTTGCAGGGGACAGGCTGGCTGTGGGTGCAGGGGGTTTGCTGATGGGGTACAAGGGCACTACTGCTCGTTCGCCTTGGCTTTCATGGTGGGAGGAGCCAGGGTTATTTGTCCATGAGGAGAGAGGAGGAGCTGGGGGCAGGTGGCACAAGATTTTCGGAGCTGTCCAGAATCAAGTAGCTGAGTGGGGAAGCAGGAGCGTGTGGGCCGGAGGCGCCCACTGGGGTTCACCACGTCCCTCTGGGGATGAGCCTGTGTCCTGCGCACGCTGGGCCCTTCGCTTGTTTTTCCAATTCTCAACTTGCACAAGTTTATTAGGAATTTCACAGTAACTTTTCCCAGGCCAGTTCTTCCTTCGTCCCTGGAGGGTGTCAGGCCACCTGCCTGTCACTCTTCTGGCAGCCTCAAAACCCCAGAGACAGCCGGCCAGGCCGCCGTCTCAGCATGGCACGGTCGAGCACCTGTCACAGGCACCTGTGGGGTCTCCAGGAGTTTGCTGGCAGCTGGACGGGCGAGGCCCAGCGCCCCTACACGCCCCTGTGATAGAAGACTTCCGTTTCTTCAGTTGACGACCGGATGTCCTCCTCCAGCTTGGCGCACTGGATCTGAAACCCAATCAGAGTCCTCAGAGTCACACGAATAAACTCACTTCCTGAGAGCAACCACCGCACAGCCTTTCTCAATGATGTCTAAACTACAGCAAACATATCACCTTTTAAAAAACATTTATTTATTTAGGGGCCGGCACTGTGGTACAGCGGGTTACCCCAGCCTGCAGTGCCAGTATCCCATGTGGGCACTGGTTCGAGTCCTGGCTGTTCCATTTTCGATCCAGCTCCTTGCTAATGGCCTGGGAGGGCAGCAGAAGATGGCCTAGGAGCTTGGGCCCCTGCATCCATGTGGGAGACCTGGAGGACGCTCCTGGCTCCTGGCTTTGGATCAGCTCAGCTCCAGCTGTTGCAGCCATTTGGGATGAACCAGCAGTTGGAAGATCGTTCTCATTCTCTCTCTCTCTAACTCTTTCAAATAAACAATTTTTTTTTAGACATTCATTTACTTATTTGAAAGGCACAGTGACAGAGGAAACACACACAGAGAAATCTTCCATCTGCTGGTTCACTCCCCAAACAGCTGATCTGGGCCAGGCAGAAGCCAGGAGCCTGGAACTCCATCTGGTCTCCCATGTGGGTGGTAGGCACCCAAGTACTTGGGCCATCTGCTGTCGCCTTCCCAGGTGCTTCCAGGGAGCTCGATCGGAAGCAGAGCAGCCAGGACTGGAACTGGCGCTCTAGTCGGGGATGCCGGCATCACAAACGGCTTTACCCGCCACGCCGCAGCGCCAGACTCTCATCTGACTTCTTGAGTGGAAAACTCCAAATGCAAACAGAGGAGAGCAGAAACAACAAAGCCCCACGTGTTCACGGCCGCAGTGACCATGAACAACCTGCCGATCTTTCAGCGAGCACCTCCCACAGAGGAACCAGGTGTTTTCTCGAGTGTCTTAAATGTTTTAACACAGAGAGGAGACCGGATCCCGGCAGCTGGGATCCCCCAAGCTCTGAAGCCTTCTTGCGAAAGGGCCAGGCTAGCCTCACACAGCGGGCGCTGATGCATTCACAGTGACGTTTTATGGGAGGACGGAGTCATGCTGCACTTTCATTGCAACAAGCCATGCTCAAACAGCAGGCCTGAGGTCTTGTTCTAAAATCTCAAGGAGGTGCAGCCCCACCCTGCCACCCCCACGGCAAGGACAATGATTGTCTAACATAATCCAAGGCTTCGACACTATATGCTGGCAAAGTCACCTGAATTAATGACTCTACAAACCTAAGCCTCCAGAATTTAAGTTCTGAGCAAGATCGTTCCATTGTGTAAGGGCTTCTGAGGGCATTACTACCTCTAACTTTAGTGAGAAAAAAAGGCATTGGGATTCTCAGCGAATGTATTAGATGGCTAATACAGCGGCAGCAGCGCCGTCCTGGCCCTGGTACCTCCAGGCTGCAGCCCGTTGCAGGGCCACCGTGGCTTCAGCTGTCTGACAAGGAAACAGCACATGAGCCGGTCTGACTCATCGTAAATCCTATCAATTACCCACAGTGCAGTGCTGCCCAGGCTCGCAGCCACCAGCCCCACGCGTGTCCTGAAATTGCAGTTAGTTGAAAATTCAGTTCCTCAGCCCCACGAGCCGCATTTCAAGGGCTCGGTAGCCACGTGTAGCCAGCAGACTTCTGGTCAGCACAGAGAACGTTTGCCTCACTGCAGGAATTTCCACCAGATAGGGTACTGCTACAGAATTTCATGGGATATCTAAAATTTCTCCAATAAAATATCTATAAGGCTTTTCTGTCACGCCCTGACGGGGGCACGTACCCGGCCGACCTGGGGAAACATGCTGAAAGAAAGCGGCGCCATCAGCCCCATGGTCAGGATGGTACAAGACAGCTTCATGGACCACAGTGATGGCGGGTGTTTCAGGAAGAACTGGGTCCTGTAAGAGACAAGGCAGAGCTCACAATGGATGAGGAGGAACATCCCTGCGCTGTCCCTCGCTGGCCTCTGGCGCCAGCGGTACCCAATCCCACTCGCATGTACATGCAGGCCTGTGCCTCGGCTCCCACTCAACCCCCAACCAGGCAGAAAAGCAGCTGCACAGGCCGAGTTTTGCTCAAGGTGAGTCGGGCACGGCGCTGAGCACTTCACACACATCTGCCCAGTGGGTCCCCGAGCCTTATGAGGTCTGCATCGTCATCACGCAAGCTCCAGCGGTGCCGGAGCCTGGGGCCGCTGGGCTGTGCACATCTGGCGTCCTTGCCTGTCCCCTCTCTTGGAGGAGTAACCGCCAAGCTGACTGCGGCGAGCTCTTCCATGCCGCCCGCCGGGCTCAGAATCTAGCAAGTTCAAAACACTGAACCCTCCCCCAGGGAGCTGCGTGTACCTCTTACCGTTTGAAAAAGTACGTGAAGACTTCGGGAATAAGAGCCGACGTCCCAAACAGCACTGCCCTGGATAGCGCTGTTTCTCTAACGGCCTAGTGGAAACAAACGGAGAGGCTCAGCACAAGGAGTGAGCCGACGCCAAAGGATCCGGCAGCTCACGCCCGAGACACACACACCAGCTCGCCCTCCTCCTGCAGGGGGATCACACACAGCCTTCCCAGCGCACAACCTGCGAGAGCAGTGGGGGAGGGGTACCCCCACCTCACCCCGCAGCAGGCTCCACCAGGCCACCAAGCACCCCGAATAAGCTCCCCGTGTACCCACAAAGCACAAGCCAAGGCAGTCTCCCCATGAATCCCGGTGCAGAACCACACGGCGGTCTCCTTGGCAGACACGCTGGAAGCACCCCTGGGTCACTTTCTCTCAGCCCAGGGCTCTGCCACCGGCCTCCTATGCTGAATGCCCCCTCCCCCCCCAGCGATGCCCAGCCTAGTGGAGCCCAGCCCTGAGCACCCTGGCGGGGCATCTGGCCCACGAGGGTCTACCTGTCTGTCCTAACCTTCACAGGGGTAATGAAACTGTGGTGCCACCAAACGCTGTTTGTACCCATCTGTACTTACAGCACTCTGCTGTGCGTGAATCCATATGTTAACATTAAACTCTAAACACTGCTTTAAATTTGAGAGGCAGAGATGGACAGAGAGAGAGAGGACTCCCATCCTCTGGTTCACTCTCCAAACACCCATGATGACCAGAGCTGCAGCCAGCAGTCAGGAACTCCATCTGGGTGTCCCGCATGGGTGGCAGGGACCCAGCCAGTTAGCAGGAAGCCGGAACTGGAAACAGAGCCAGGACCTGAACTCGGGTACTCCAGTGTGGGACGTGGGCATCTTAGCCGCCACGCCACACTCCCGCCCCGGTACCCCAGGCATTCAGATGAGGAACTCACGGTAGGAGTCACGGGCACAGAACTGTGTACCCTTGAGGGCTACGTAAGGGCCACTGTGGCTTTGAGGGTTACGTAAGAGCCATTGTGGCTATCGAGGGGCTCCTGTGTTAACCTCAGAAGCCAGCCCTGGGGAAGGCATGGCTCCACACACAGCACAGTGCTCTGCTCATGGCCAACAGGCACCACTCCCTGGCCTGCCTCAAGCTCCAGTCCCTCCATCCCAGCCTTGGCGACTTGGCCATGGCCTGCCCACCACCCGGTACCCAGCTCTCTGCTCACAGCATGGCCGGTGGACTGGGGCCAGACGCCAGCCCTGTGCTCTTCCCTCAGCAGTGGGTGCCTTTCACCCATAAAGACAGCCGGAGCCAGGGAGTGCAGTTTTCCCAGGCGGCTTCAGGAATGCAAAGAGCCGCCTAGCGGGGGTGTTTCCTCCAGGCTCTGTCCCACGTGCATGGGCGACATCCCCAGGGGATATCCGTCCGCAGGAGGCACCGTGAGACGCATCCCAGAGTGCAACTCGGTGGGAAAACCACATCAGCCGGCTTCTTGAAACCAGGTCAAAGGTGCCCTGTTACAATCAGATATTGCTGGCTAAACGCACTTTCTGAAATTCTAGCCAAAAAAAATAAAGCTTCGATGACAGGGAAACAATAAAGGGACGCGTGTGCTTGTGCACAGCTGGAGACGCTTTATTCTGAAGAGAAAGATAAATTTTGCTTTTGCTTTTTTTAAAAAGATTTATTTATTTATTTGAAAGTCAGAGCTACACAGAGAGAAGAGAAGCAGAGAGAGAGAGGTCTTCCATCCAATGGTTCACTCCCCAGATGGCCGCAACGGCCAGAGCTGCGCTAATCTGAAGCCAGGAGCCAGAAGCCTCTTCTTGGTCTCCCACGTGGGTGCAGGGTGCTTTCCCAGGCCAGAGCAGAGAGCTGGACAGGAAGAGGAGCAGCTGGGTCTCGAACTGGTGCCCATATGGGATGCGGGCGCTTCAGGCCAGGGTATTAACCCACTGCGCCACAGTGCCAGCCCCCTTTTTCTTTTTTTTAAGGCCAACCATCAGCTCTTTAAATTGGGCCTCCTGCTTGGGACATTCCTGCAGGGGAGACGGACTCCAGAGCCACCGGCCACCAGGGCAGGAAGGGATTCCCACAGGGGCAGCACAGCACCTGGCAGATGGGCAGGTGGGCGGGGCTGGGGAGCCCTTGTGGACCCAGCGTCTGCGCTCTCTGCTCTTGGGCTTCCTGCAAGTTCATGGCCATACTCACACCCCGAGGTCAAGACAGAGCTGAGGCAAAATGCGCGCGCGCGCACACACACACACACACACACACACACAGTGTCCACCTGGAGAGCTGCCAGTCCACGTTCAGAGCAGATGTCCACCTCCTGGGGAACGGACAAGCAAAATGCGGCATGTCCATGCCACAGGGTGTGACTCGGCCGTGAGAGGAATACACGGCTGCCTGGCGGCACGAGACGGGGAGCTGCAGAGAGCGCTGCCGGCCCCAAACGACTACTGTGCAATGCTCTCAGATACAGTTTCTAGAAAAGGCCAAACTAGGGCGACACAGCAGACTGAGGCCTCCCTGGGGCTGGGGCTGACTGAACAGGCACAGGGGAAGGTTTAGGGATGACAGCGTCCAAAATTGCACTGTGGTGATGGCCGCACAGTTTATTTTGGCTAAAGTTCACCAAACTGTACTCTTACAGTAGGTGGATTTGACAGTGTGTGAATTACACCTCTATAAAACTTGAAAAATAGTCTCTCTTGTGGCGTATGGGTAAGCCTGTATCGGAACGCCTGTCTAAGCTCTGACTGCTCTGCTTCTGACCCGTCTTCCTGCTAATGCTCTGCAGAGGCAGCAGACGACGGCCAAGCACCTGGCTCCCTGCCACCAATGGGAGAGCCAGAGGCAGTGCCGGGCTCCTGGTTTTCCAGCCCTAGCTGCTGCAGGCATTTGGGGAGTGAACCAGCAGGTGCAAGATCTCTCCTTCTCTTTCTCTGCTTGTCAAGTAGATGAAAATAAGTAATAAATATTTTAAAGTTATGTGTCTCTTTAGGGTGATTCTTTAGGCCTAGAACCATCATTTCAAACCTGAAACATATTTTCTCTCTGGCAGCAGTGTCTCTCCTTGTCACTTATAATTATTGCATCCCTGTTGTAATTCATTGAGAAAATGGGGCCATGCGACTATAGATGGTGCAGCAGAAATACCGTGGCCTGCACCCAATGGTTCATCATTCGGCTCTGTCAACCAGATTCTGAGGTGAATAATGAGTGTACAGGCGTGGAATGAGCATGTGAAATGAGGTCTTGGGGCTGGCGCTGTGGCACAGTGGGCTAAAGTCCCAGCCTACAGCGCCAGCATCCCATATGGGCGCCGGTTCAAGTCCCGGCTGCTCCACTTCCAATCCAGCTCTCTGCTATGGCCCGGGATAGCAGAAGATGGCCCAAGTCCTCGGGCCCCTGCACCCACGTGGGAGACCCAGAAGACACTCCTGGCTTCAGATCAGCTCAGCTCCGGCCGTTGCGGTCATTTGGGGAGTGAACCAGTGAATGGAGGACCTCTCTCTCTCTCTGGCTGTACCACTCTCTATAGTTCTGCCTTTCAAATCAATAAAATAAATCTTAAAAAAAAAAAAGAAAAGAAAAGAAAAAGAAATGAGGTCTTTCCTGACCTCCTCCTGCACCACACGCCACGCAGGAAGATGCCAGGTGGCTATGGACATTGCCCGGTGTGCTGACCCTGGGGGAAGCCGGGCTCCCTCTGCCCGGTGTGCTGACCCTGGGGGAAGCCGGGCTCCCTCTGCCCGGTGTGCTGACCCTGGGGGAAGCCGGGCTCCCTCTGCCCGGTGTGCTGACCCTGGGGGAAGCCGGGCTCCCTCTGCCCGGTGTGCTGACCCTGGGGCAAGCCGGGCTCCCTCTGCCCGGTGTGCTGACCCTGGGGCAAGCCGGGCTCCCTCTGCCCGGTGTGCTGACCCTGGGGGAAGCCGGGCTCCCTCTGCCCGGTGTGCTGACCCTGGGGGAAGCCGGGCTCCCTCTGCCCGGTGGGGCTGTGCCACGCTGCTCTTCGTGCCATTTGCAGCAGGCTGCCTCCCACATAATTCTGCAGCTACAGCCAGAGAGCAGAGAGCTCACTTGTGGAAAACAGGACTGAAGTCTACACCCAAAATGAAACGACCAGTCTATACCAGCTTCTTACAGCTGAATGCACACAGAAGCAGAGGAGTAAACTATGTAACAGTGAAGAGTTATTTCAAACAGAGGCCTCTTATCATCAGAGTTGTCAATACTCAGTAACAAACTGGCCCCTAACGATGAGTCTAAGAGAATTTGCTGTTGGGTGGAAGGGGGGTGCAGCGCAGGCTGGGAGTGGGGGTGACCAAGAGGGACGGACCTGGGGACGGACCTGGCTGAAGCCGATGAACAAGATCTCCCACTCGGCTCAGCGCTGTGGTCAGCGGGGTAAGCCAGCGCCTGTGCCGCCCACATCCCATATGAATGCTGGCTCCTGTCCCAGCTGCTCCACTTCCCAGCCAGCTCCCTGCTAATGCACCTGGGTAAGCAGCAGAAGATGCCCCAAGTGCTTGGGCCCCTGCATCCATGTAGGAGACCCGGATGGAGTTCCGGTCTCCCAGCTGCAGCCTGGCCCAGCCCTAGCTGCTGTAGCCTTTTGGGAAGTAAACCAACAGATGGAAGATCTCTCTCTCTCTGTAACTCTGCCTTTCAAAACAATAAATAAAATCCTAAAAAACAAAAAACAAACAAAAAAAACAAAAAAATAACTCCCTCCCATGATGGTTTCCTAGGGCAGCTTGGTGCATGTGCACAGTGTTTTCATCAAACACTGGTCTAGGTGTTGCTGGGGGTGACTCCCCAGGGGCCACAGATCCCACCCCAGAACACACAGCAGGTTTCCCAGAGCGCCCGGCCCTAAGCACTCCCAGCTGGCCGGCCCCAGAAGGAGTGAGCCCACCCTCAAGGTAAAGCCCTGAGCGGGGGTGTGCCTATATCCCAGCCGCTCTGCTCCCCTGGGGAACGCAGACTCCAGCGCCATCTTTGAAATGTCAGGTGCAAGACCCAGGCTCTCCTCCCACACGGGGGAGGATGATGAAGAAGGGTCAAGGGCACACACAAGGCTGCCACCAGCTCACCAACAGGAGAGGCCATCCTTGGCCCACAGGGCTGTCGCTCCCCCTCTTCACGGAGAAATGACACAGGACCCTGCGCTGTTCTTTTGTCTGCTCGGCCCTCCCCGGGTTTGCTGCTGGTTCTTCCCGGGTTGGCTACCGACCCTTCCACCTCCGTGGAAGGGCGGTTCCCCCTGCCACTTTCCCCACTTCCACGGGGGAGCGGCACACCGCCGGCCGGCTCTCTCGGGGGCTGCTCAGGTGTTCCCTTTAGATGTTCCTGGTGCATGTTGTCTCTCTCCTCCTTTATAGTCCTGTTCCACCAATCCCAACTCTGCTACCCACACGCCGAGTACGCTGCTCTCCTCCAATCAGGAGCAGGATCAGCTCCTGCAGGTTACTGGTCGAACTGGAAGCAGCTGTGTAAAAGTTGTTTACTCCTCCCCAGCGCCATATTGTGGGAGAGCAGATGCATAGAATAAGTCTTAATTCCAGTAACTTAGTCTAGTCCGAGTTGCTCTCCACACAGGGCCAGCAGCGGCAGCTCTGCCCAGTCCCCTACCTTTCTCCCGGCTCTTCTGGACAGGCCTATGACATTGCCTTCCTTGTCCATGACCTCAATCCCTCGAACGGGCTCAAAACTTCGGGATGCAAACACGTTTATTCCACTCACTTGGGCTGCAGACGTAAAGAGACGAGCAGGATGCGTTTGGGTCCAGCAAAGGGACATCTTCTGAGGGGCCTGTCACTTGTAGCCACCTTCCCCTGATCTGAGGGTCACCCACCACAGGCTGCCTCCTGATTAGAAATGCTGGCCCTTGGTTCTGACCGTGGCCCAAAGCCCAGCCTGGCTCCTCGACGGCTTCCAAGTGAAACCCCAGAGCCCTTGAAATATAACCTCGTCTTGGCGCGCACTCCTGTGCCCACGTCCTGCACCCTAACTTCCCCAGCTGCACCACTGACGTCCCTCGGCCAGCTCTTCAGGCAGCTACGATTCCCACACCCAGGCCTGGAGCACTCAGAATCCTCGACAGATACCTACGTCACTTCCTGTGGCATCTGGCCACCAGGCTGGGAGCCCCACAGCACCACGTGCTTGCCATGTGACCCTGGCCAGGGGCTTCCCTTGCCTGTGTCTCAGTCTTCTCATTTGTAAAAGGACTGAGAACACGCCCTGCCTGTAAGCGGCTGGCAGGATTCGGTGAGACAAGGTATGGGGACGAGTGAGCCGGGTGACTTTCAATGTCACTTGCATTTCCAGGTGCCTGGTCACCCCTGGACAATCAAAGGGGACACAAAGTGTCACCTCTCAAACCAGAGCTCTAATCTGGGCCTGGAGGCCCTGGCAGGCTGCGAATGTTGGTTGTCATTGGTGACAAGGTGGCCAGAGGACCCAAGTGTCCCTGAGGATGGAGGAAGCTCAAGGACCCAAAGACAAGCCCAGGGCGTGAGCTCCAGCCCTTGCACTCACCGATAAAGATGATAGGCAAGGCTCTTTTGATGAGAAGGTTATCCAGGGGGTACTTCATTTGGGCCAAATAAGGGATTAACTAGAAAACAAGAGAGAAGGAGCATTAATGCCTGAGACCGAAAGTCCAGCTGAACACACTCAACAGCACAGCGCCAACCCCGACCTGGCTCCTGTGACGAGCAGGGCTATCCGGTCATGCCCAATTCTTGCCACAGGAGGCTCTCTCCCTATTCATCTGAGAAGGGAACAGGGGCTCAGCACAGTGATGAAAGTCGCCCAGAGTGACAGTCAGGATGGGTTTGAGCCACGATGCGGACTCAGGCTGGTCTGACTCTAAAGCCTGCATTTTAGCCATTACAGATCCTATGTCCAAAGCCACATACAATCTGCATATCATCATCGTGCAGCATAAGCTAACTCTTAAATGGATAACAGTACTGCATACAGTTGTCACTGGGTACCCGAGAATACCACGATCCCAGGACGTTCAAGTTCCTTGGACAAAACGGCATAGTGGAGGCTGGCACCGTGGCCCAGCTGAGCTAGGCTGCTGACTGCCACACCCCCATCCCATATGCACACTGGTTCCAGTCCTGGTTGCTCTGCTTCTGATCCAGCTCCCTGCTAATGTGCCTGGGAAGCAGCAGATGACAGCCTGAGTACTTGGGCCCCTGCACCCATGTGGGAGACCAGAATGGAGTTCCTGGCTCCTGGCTTCAGCCTGGCCCAGCCCCAGCCATTGTGGCATTTGGAGAGTGAACAAGCTGATGGAAGATCTCTGTCTCTCCTTCTAACTGTGCCTTCCCAGTAAATTTTAAAGAATGCATAGTGTTTGCATAGGAACTGCATACGTCCCCATCTACTTTAAAACATCTCTAGATGACGGATAATACCCTACACGACATAATGCTTTTACAATGAAAGCAGCTTTTATATCGTGTGGTTTAAGGGAAATTACTAGGAGAAGAAGCCTGTGCCTGTTCGGTACACGGTCTGAGGCTGGCTGAGCCAGAGGGTGCATAACCATGGATATGGAAGACTGGCTGTACGCGCCTAGAAACCTGGAGGATTAACCTGGTTATGTGGGGTGACACGGTGACAGGTGATCTTCATGTACTTCCTATTCATGCATTCTACGACGTAAGGTAGGTTGCAATCAGAATACAGCTTTTTGATGCTTAGGAATTAAAAAGACCCATCAGAGTTTGAAACACTTACCCCGAAGAAGGCTGAAGAAGCAAAGGCTCCCGTCCCGAGGAAAAGGCCCTCCACTGGATGGCGACTCTAAGGAGGAAGGAAGGCAACCATCGGGGCCAGCGCTGTGGTGCAGCGGGTCAAGTGGCCACATGTGCCGGCAGCCCATAGGGGCACTGGTTCAAGTCCCAGCAGCTCCATTTTTGATCCAGCTCCCTGCTAATGCACCTGGGAAAGCAGAGGAAGGTGGCCCAAGTGCTTAGGCCCCTGGACCCATGTGGGAGACCCAGAAGGAATTCCAGGCTCCTGGCTTCATTACGGCCCAGTCCCAGCCATTATGGCCATCGGGTTGTGAACCGACAGATGGAAGACCTCTCTCTCTCTTCCCCCTCTCTCTATAACTCTGCTTTTCAAATAAATAAATAAATAAATATGAAAATAACTATTTAGCATAAACCACAATTTTGTCCAGCAAGAAGTTTTTTTTAAATGAAAAAAAAAAAAAAACTCCAAAAGAAATACAAAATGTGAATGAGACATTTTCCATTTGAGTAAAGATCTTCTTAAATAATTTTTATTCAGAAAAGCAAATATAAATTATAATGAGGTAATGGTTACTTCTAACAAGCAGCACACAATTCATCCAATTCTGCACCGAACCGTCAGAGCCTTTGATCACTGTTTATAGTCCTCGTCTATCTCCCTTACACACTAGGGTCTTCTACTTTCTACTTCTCGAACTCCTTTTCTCTTTTTAAATATTCATTTATTTATTTGAAAGACACAGTTACAGAGAGGCAGAGGCAGAGAGAGAGAGGTCTTCCATCTGCTAGTTCACTCCTCAAATGGCCGCAACAGCTGAAGCTGGGCCGATCCAAAGTCTCCCACGTGGGTGCAGGGGCCCAAGGACTTGAGCCATCTTCCTCTGTCTTCCCAGGCCTTAGCAGAGAGCTGGATTGGAAGAGGAGCAGCCGGGACTCAAACCAGTGCCCACGTAGGATGTGGCACCACAGGCAGAGGCCTACCCAACTACGCCACAGTGCTGGCCCCGATCTGTTGAACTTTCATTTAGTAGAGCATCAAGCCTTTGACAATAGCATCAATGGGAAACTTGTTATCTCAAAAATTTAAAAAGTAAAAAGCAAATTTTAAAAAGGAAGAAAGAAGGAGACAGCACCGCCGTGGCCGTGGTGATACGCACGTAACTGGCGTTTCCGTTGATGATGTTGAAGGCTGAGGTGTAGGCGTACAAGGACACCTGCGGAGACACAGGCACACGCGTCACATCCTGGTGCCACGCACAACAGAACAGAAATTGCGACCCGGGTACCACTGCGCACCTGCGGTAAAATCAGGGACTTCAGCCCTCTCGCTGGCATCATCGACCAAAACACCTGAAGAAGACAGAGGGGGAGGAGTTACAGACGTTTGGGGGGTGGGAGAGAGCCGCTGGCCAGGAAAGGAAGGTCGGGGGGGCAGCAGTGACGAAGCCGGGGCCGAGTGAGTGCTGTCGGAGCCCTGTGGCCACCCAGGAGCCCCACCAGGGCCCAGGTGAGGGGACTTGGGGAGAGCAGGTATTGGACAGTACGTGGGCTTGAGGCCGGCAGCACTTCTGAGCTGCCCCTCTATGGTGTTCTGCATGTAGTAGGCCTTCAAAACAAAGGGGGACCTGGTGACCTGGCTAGGGCCAAGGGGTGGGGGCAGGGTGGACACAGGAGCAGCAGACAAGGGCATGGGAGGTGTACACGGGCAGCCGCCAGGCAGCTCACTCACCATGGGCGCCATGAAAGGCAGGAAAGCTGGCAGGGAAGAGAGGAGCCGTCAGCGATGGTGGCTACGGCAGCACCGGGCACCGCCCAGCCACAGCCCCCACCCCAGCCTCGGGGGGCACGCGCCTCCAGGGACATTCTACTCATCCCTTTATTGTCTGATGCACGCGGCAAAGCTAAAGCAGCACAATGAGAAAGACCTGCCCTAGGCCTCTCCTGGGAAGCAGGCGCAGTTAACCCGCACTTGCTCACCCTCCCAGGAGAATCTTCAAACCCACGAGCAGAATACACAGATTTTCTCACACACACGGCCCTAATGGCACAGACGAGATCACCATACACCACTCCGTGCTCCGCTTGTTTCCGGTAACAGCAAGTCCACAGCACCCGTCATGGGAGTAATCGCTGTGTTCAGGGGTCCTGACAGAGCAGGGCGGGACTCACCCCAGGGCCTGGCCCCTCCTTCGCAGAGCCCAGATCTTACCGCAGCACAGCGCTGGGCTCTGAGCTCCCATGCTGCTCTCTGTCAACTCCACTCCCCCCAGCCAGTGTACCTTTTCAAATTATTTATTTATTTATTTATTTATTTATTTTCATTTCATTTGAAAGGCAGAGAGTCAGACAGACAGAGATCTTCCACTCACTGGTTCACTCTCTGGCTGGGCCAGGCAGAAGCTGGGAGCTGGGAACTGAACCCAGGTCTCCCGCGTGGCTGGCAGGGACCTAACCAGCTGCCTCCCAGGGTGCACGTCAGCAGGAAGCTGGAATCCCAGGAGCAGAGCTGGGACTTAAATCCAGGCACTCGATAGGGGGTGCTGGTGACCCCAAAGGTGTCATAACCATTGCAAGAAACACCCACTTTCTAAGCTGACCTTTTCCTAATTCATCATCAGAAATCCCTCTGGGGGGGGCCGGCGCTGTGGCATAGCGGGTACAGCTGCCTCCTGTAGCACAGGCATCGCACGTGGGCACTGGTTCAAGTCCTGGCTGCTCCACTTCTGACCCAGCTCTCTGCTATGGCCTGGGAAAGCAGTGGAAGATGGCCCAGGTCCTGGGCCCCTGTACCTGCGTGGGAGACTTGGAAGAAGTTCCTGGTTCCTGGCACTGGACTGGCGCAAGTTCGCCCATTGTGGCCAGTTGGGGAGTGAACCAGTGGATGGAAGACCCCTCTCTCTCTCTCTGCCTCTCCTTTGCAGTTTCCATGTCCTCCCTACCCACTTCTGAAAAGCAGAGGCAACTCACCCGCAGGCCGGAAGAGCACAGGGATCAGCTTGCTGCTGTCGGGATGCACTGTTGACTGCAAGAGGGCAGACGCAAGGTCAGCGGGCATGCAGCTCTGCTGCTTTGGAAAAAGCTAGAAAGCAGGAAGGGTGAGACTTACGAGACTCCGCTTCCACGCTTCTTGTACCTAGAGAGGAAAACCGAAGAGCAGCTTTGAAAGGCGCCTGCAGGCAGCCCAGCTCCCCCTCCCACAGCAGGAAGGCGGGAGCTCTTCCCTACCACGTGGGCGGAACAACTACAAACCAACGCGCAGGGCTGGCGTCGCGGGGCAGCAGGTTAAGCCGCCAACTGCGACAATGGTAGCCCGTGGCGCAGCCCCAGTGGCTACTCCGCTTCCAGCCCAGCTTCCTGCTAATGCGCCTGGGAAGAAAGTGGAAAATGGCCTCAGTCCTTGGGTCCCTGCCAGCCATGTGGGAGACCAGCATGGAGCTCCTGGCCCCTGGTGTAGACCTGGCCCAGCCCTGGCTGTTAGGGCCATCTGGGGAATGAACCAACAGACGGACGATCTCTGTCTCCCCCTCTCTCGGTGCTCTACCGTTTCAATGAACAAAATCTTTCACAAAAACTGGATCAATAAAATGAACAAATGAAAAAAAAATAAAAAATAAAAAATAAATTTAAAAAATGAACAAATGAACTAACAGCAAGCAAACAGATGTTCCGCATAAAGAAACTGAGCAGGACGTCCAACAGTGCCATCCTCAGCCCTGGAGAGGACCAGCCCCTAGCGGGCCCCTCAGAGGAGCCTGCACCTGGCTCAGAGCAGGCTGGGTGCCGACAAAGACACCACGAACCAAGTCACTTGCAAGAGAGCCACGTCGCTGGCGTGGAAGCCCCGGTGAGTTCTGAGAAAAACCAAGTGAAACCTGCGAGCCTGCCCCAGGCTGCCCCGAGGGCCTGGTGCTTGTGAGCTCCACAAAGCTGGGAACAGCGCAGGGCAGGTGACAAATGAAAGCCGCCTCCGTGTCCACCGGTTCTGCACCCACTAAGTCTGTCAATGGCGGATGGAAGATATCTGAAAACACACTGTGTGCTGAGCATGCGCAGACTTCCTTGTCATTATTCCCTAAACAATGCAACACCGATCTACACAGAATCTACACTGCATTAGGTATGTGAGTAATCCAGAAATGAGTGTGTGCATGTTATATGCAAATACTATGACTCCCCCTCTCCCCCAAGATTTATTTATTTGAAAAGCAGGAAGGGAGAGGGGGAGAGGGAGATGTTCCATGCACTGGTTCACTCCCCAGATGGCCACACAACAGCCAGGGTCTGGCCAGGCCAAAGTCAGGAGCCAGGAGCTTCATCTGGGTCTCCCACATGGGTGGCAGGGACCCAAGGACTCCTCTGCGGCCTTCCTAAGTGCATCAGCAGGGAGCTGGATCAGGAGCAGAGCAGCCAGGACTGGAACCAGCCCTCTGATACAGGATGCTAGCTTCATAAGCGGCAGGTTAACCCACTGCACCACAAACACGGGCCCCACTGTGCCATCTTATACAAGGGACTTGAATGAGCACCAGTGGGTTTTGATATCTGCATGGGAGTTTTGGCGGGGGGAGTTGGTAGCTGGAGCCAATCCCCATGACCTTCAGGGGACATCTGCACTTGGTACTTGCTGTGAGCAGCTGGGCACACACACGACACTGCCTGGAGTGCAAGACAGGAGGTGACTGCAGAGGCCTGCCTGAGTCTGGAGTCTGCCATGGGCTGCAGGAATGGCTGTGGAAAAGCCCCAGTAACACCCACCACAGGGAAGGAACCCTGCTGCACCCGGTCTATGGAACAGAATTCTAACTCCACTGTAAAATCCGACCCCGGTTTGAAAAGCTGACAGCTGGGCCACGTGTACAACGGCAAGATTAACAGCCAAGCTCTACCTGGCTTCGGCGGTGGCAGGCAGAACTCTGGGGACGGCCATGCCCCGCCGTGAACGGGCACCAGGCACACAACACGTACCCTGTGGTCCCGTGAATCAGGCCTGGAGGCATCGTCACTGGTGAACAGCAGCTGCCTTGACTTTTCTATCTTTTCCTGTAATCACAGAATGGAGAGATCAAGCAGTGATGTCACCACAGTTCAGACAGATCCACAACCACAGGCTCGTTCACCCGCATGCGCCGTACTGGAGCTGCACGCCAGACACCAAGGTGGCCCCAGCCTGGGGCTCCCTCCCCTGGGGTCCCCGCACTGCTGACTCAGCGCTCCCGGCGTCCTCAGCAGCTGCTGCAGGGCCCCCTCTGCTGCTGCCTCGCCCCTCTCTCTGATCTCACTGCCTCAGAAGCAGCAGGCACCTCCAAATCTGTAATCCCTTCTCCCTTACTCAGCACCACAACCAACAACCAATCCTGTTTTCTCTCTGTTCTTGACAAAAAAATAGCAAAAAAATAAAAATGGGGGCCGGAGCTGTGGTATAGTGGGCTAAGCTTGAGCCATCTTCCACTGCTTTCCCAGGCAATCAGCAGGGAACTGGATCAAAAGTAGAGCAGCCGGGACTTGAACCGGCGACCATAAGAGATGTCGGCACCACAGGCGGAAGTTTAGCCCGCTATGCCACAGTGCCGGCCCCATAAATAAATCTTTTATTTTTTTTTTTTTTTTTTTTTTGACAGGCAGAGTTAGACAGTGAAACAGAGAGAGACAGAGAGAAAGGTCTTCCTTTGCCGTTGGTTCACCCCCCAAATGGCCGGCGCTGCACCGATCCGAAGCCAGGAGCCAGGAGCCTCCTCCTGGTCTCCCATGTGGGTGCAGGGCCCAAGGACCTGGGCCATCCTCCACTGCCTTCCTGGGCCACAGCAGAGAGCTGGACTGGAAGAGGAGCAACTGGGACAGAACTGGCGCCCCAACCAGGACTAGAACCCGGGGTGCCGGCGCCGGCGGGGGATTAGCCTAGTGAGCTGCGGCGCTGGCCTCCCATAAATCTTTAAAAAAAAAAAAAGTCAAAGAAAAAAAAAATCAAAGAATGAGTACACACCATAATCCTCCCACCCAGACCCTCATACCCTAGTCTCACCCCCTCCCCGACCCTCAGAGGTGGCCACCAACATTATGAGGTATCCAGTCCACATCTGCATACTTCATATACACATACATGTGTGGACACTTCCAAAAGTTTGTGAAAAAGGTATATTATGAAAATCTATGGAGCTGGCTCTGTGGTGTAGCAGGTAAAGCTGCTGCCTGCAGTGCTGGCAACCCATATGGGTGCCAGTTCGAGTCCCAGCTGCTCTACTTCCAATCCAGCTCTCTGCTATGGCCTAGGAAAGCGGTGGAAGATGGCCCAAGCCCTTGGGCCCCTGCACCCACATGGGAGACCAAGGAAGCTCCTGGCTTCAGACCAGCCCAGCTTCAGCCATTGTGGCCAGCTGGGGCTTGAACCAGTGGATGGAAGAACTCTCTCTCTCTCTGCCTCTCCTTCTCTCTGTGTAACTCTGACTTTCAAATAAATAAACTTTTTTAAAAAAAGAAAAGAAATCTATGTATGGATTTCAAGGGTTTTTTGGTATCAAAATAAATTTTTAAAAAAATTCTGTATTTGAGAGGCACGGAGGGCACATGAGTTCTCATCTACTGGCTCACTCTCCAAACGTCCAGGCGCCAGGGACTCCATCCAGGTCTCCCAGGTGAGAGGCAGGGACCCCAACCCTCCCAGGGTGTGCATCAGCAGGAAGCTGGAACTGGAAGCAGAGCCCAGACTCAAAGCAGACACTCCAATATGGCAGCATCTTAGCTGTCGTACCAAACACTCCCCAATACCTTTAACTCCATTTTCCACCAAATGCTTAAAGTACCCTCTGTGGCACAAGTCTGCCGCTCTGCAGACACCAGGGACAGGCAAGGCCCTTCAGAATCCGCCTCGGCCCCCTGCATTCAAAGCCCCTTGTCCAGGGGACAGGCTTTCCCACCCCGTGCTCTGCTTGTGGTCCCCTCTCCCTGATGTGCCTGCCTCGCTCCTCCTGGCTCAGCCCCCTCCCAGAGTCCCCCCAGTCCCCTTAGCGCCCCAGCAAGCTTTGTGACCAGTGCGTCTTCCAGTGTTCAGAAGATCTGTGAGATTCGCTGTTAATCACCGGCCCCTGGCCTGGGCTCGGTATTACCTGTTAAACAGATGTACCCATTCATTTGTCACTCTTCCAATCTAACCCACTCATTCGAAAGGAACAAACACATACTCTGCAATTTCAACTGCTTTCAAAAGGGCCACGCTCTTCAAATTCCAAAATAAATGAGACAGGGCAGCACTGTGGCGTAGTAGGTAAGCATGTGCCTGTGGCGCCAGCATCCCACATGGCCACCAATTCGACTCCCGGCCCGACTGCTCCTCTTTGATCCAGCTCCCTGCTGATAGCCTGGGAAAGCAGGGGAAGGGGGCCCCTGCACCTGTATGGAAGGCCTAGAAGAAGCTCCTGGCTCCAGGCTCTGGCCTGACTCAGCTGTTGCAGCCATTTGGGGAGTGAACCAGCGGATGGAAGATCTCTCTCTCTCTCTCTGTAACTGCCTCTCAAGTAAATAAAATAAAGCTTTTAAAAAAGAACAAAGAATATTGGTTTAAAAAATAAAATAAAATGTGAGGCTCATTATCTCTGAAGACGATACTTACAACGGAAATGACCAGATTTGTAGGGTCTAGTATTTCTGTCCACTGGAGAAATCTTCGAACAAAAGACTGCAGAGGAGAACATCCGAGAGAACGTGAAAAGCAGCAGAAAGACAAAGCCACACAGTCACAACAGAGTCATCATGTTCTCCTGGAGCCCATACAACACGCCCATTTCCCAGGTGAGAAAGCTGAGGGACAGACTTAGGCCAACACAGCAGAGGACTTAGCAGTCTGTGTGCTCTTCATCGCCCAAGATAAAACTGCTGGGACCTGTGTTGTGGCACAGCAGGTTAAGTATCGGCAGTGACACCCTCATCCCGCTCAGAGTGCCAGTGTGAGTCCTGGCTGCTCGGCTTCTGATCCAGCTCCCTGCTAGAGCACCTGGGAGAGTAGGGGAAGATGGCCCAAGCGCTGGGGCCGCTGCAGCCGTGTGGGAGACGGGATGGAGTTCAAGCTCCTGGCTGCCGTGGCCATCTGGGGGTAAGCCAGTGGATCTCTATCACTCTTTCAAATAAATAAAAACAAATTTAAAAAATGCACCTGGGTTCACTCTAAGGAGCCCGGTTTGCTCCACGTGCCCGAACTTCACAGTGGCTGCAGCTGCAGCTCTACCCGCACCCTGCGCTCCCCTCCGTCCTCAACCGCAAAACAAATCCAGGGGCAGAAAGGCCAGACAGGGGATGCCCAGGGCGGGGTTTTGGGGCCGGAACTGAGTCGCGCCCAACAAAAGGGATGCGAAGGATCTCGGGAACGTCTCCCGATTGCACGCTGAAGCGCTCCCAGTCCCGCCTGCTGGGCTCCCGCACTGTTACCACCCAGGCAGCTGTTTCTTTCTACCCGTTTTCGTGCGGCTGCCCCGACCTTTCCAATCACCCGCTCAGGCGCGCCCGACGGGTGCGGCCGGGGCTACTTCCGCTCCGCAGGCGGCAGCCCAAGGACCGGGGTCTCGCTCGGAGCGACTCGGCCCCCAGGGCGGGGGGCTGCGGCTGGAGGCGGGACACGCAGCAGGGGCCGACACCTGCGGCCTGGATCTCTCCGTCCGGGCCACAAGCAGGGTGACCTTGCGGCGACTCGCCGGAGCAGCTGCTGCACGTCCCTTCGCCCCCTCCAGGGGCCGGGCGGTGCGCGCCCCAAAGCCATCTTTGCGCCGGGGAGCGCGCGCGGGGCGACCCCGTGGCCTGCCCAAGGTCGCCGGGCCCGCCCCAGCCCGCACGCCCCGGGCCGTACTTGGTGTTCGGCGATCCAGAAGCGCACGTTGGGCTCCATGCAGCCTGCGGCGCCACACTTTCTCCTCCTCTTCCGGGAACCTGCGCGGTGGTTGCGGGGGCCGCCGCCTCTAGGCCGGGCGCGGAGGAGGAGCCGGCGGCGCGCCCCGCCCCGCCCCGCGCGCGCCCGCTACTCCGCGTCCCCGCGCGATCGCGCCCCGGGTTCCAAGGGCCGGGCGAGCCCACGTCTCCCGCAGGGCGAGATCTCCCAACCCTGCTGCGCCTAGTAAGGGAGCCAGAGGGTTCGCGTTGCCACCCCTGCCAGGATCCTGGATAGGGCGCGAGAGGCCCCGCCCCCTGCTCCCCTCCCCTACACGCGGGTGGGAGAGCGCACGCCTTTAGAATTATCCTGAAAACCGTTTCGGTTGCCCATCAAATTCAGCGTGCACGGTATTGGGTACAATCAGGGCTGCTTACGTTAGTGGCGCATCCCGGTGAAAAATGCAAGTAAAGTGCTGCTTATAAAAATTATTGAGAATTTTAAAAACGCAGCGGCAGAACATGAAACCAGGTGTGGGGCCCGGCTGCCAGCGCCGTCCCTCAGCCCCACGGTTTCTCCAGTGTTGGAGCAAGTTCTGTACTTTGTTGAGTGCCAGGTCAGGTAAGACTGACTAGTGACCCGGAGGGAGCTCTAGTCCGGTGGCTCGCACCCAAATGCCTGCTGCGGCTGCGGCTGGGCCAGGCTGCTGGGGACCTAGGTCTCCATGTGGATGGCAGGGACCCGACTACTAAAACCATCGCCTGTGCCTCCCGTGGACCTTAGCAGGAAGCTGGAATCGTGAACGGGGTACAACTCCAACCCAGGCCACCGGATACGGGCTGTGGGCATCCAATGGCAGCTTAAGGGCTAGGCTAAATGCCTGACCCCAAGTGAGGGCTGTGGTAGAGGAAAATGAGCCTTCCCTCCTCCCCTCGCCCCTCCCCCAGAACAGGGGTGGATGGGGGTTGTCTGTGTGCATTTGGATTCACAGAAGGCAACGTGTGCTTAGGGTATTCTGGGGGCCTCTGGAGCCCTGGGCTGGGGACGCTAGCGCACCGTTTAGTGTGTGACCCTGGCAAGTCTACATCTCCACGTCTGTCTTCTCATCTGTAAAATGCAGACAGTAGCTGCACACATCCGGGGTCTTGCTGAGGATCAAAGCAGACAGAATATGGGGGAGGCGGGACTGACAGTGCTGGACACCAACAGCCGGCCCCTCCAGCAACCTGCAGCCAGCTCAGGGTCTTCTCCAGGCCCAGTGACCTCCTGCTCCTACATTCCCTTGGTTCACCTGGCTCACTGTTCTCCAGCCTTCCAGAGCTCGGCTCCTCCCCCACAGCTGGGTCACCCGCCCCCTTCTCAGGGTTCCCACCACTCTGCGATTTAGCACACTGCCTTGTTCTGTTGCCTCTGCCCTCAAGTTTGTCTCAAATCCACCTCAGCTGGCCTCTCTGCTTCCCCACTTGGGACCCTCGGGCTCATTTTTTTTTTTTTTAAGGTTTATTTATTTGAAACTCAAGAGTTACTGAGACATCTTCCATTGGCTGGTTCACTCCTCAGGTAGCCACAACAGCCAGGGCTGGGCCAGGTCAAAGCCAGGAGCTCCTTCCGGGTCTCACACATGGGTGGTAGAGGCCCAAGCACTTGGGCCACCTTCTGCTGCTTTCCCAGGCAACCAGCAGGGAGCTGGATTTGAAGAGGAGCAGCTGGGACATCAACAGGTGCTATGTGGGATGCTGCCACTGCAGGGAACGGCTTAACCTACAATGGCACAGCCCTAGCCCCTCAAGCTTACTCTCGCCTCAGGACCTTTGCACTGGCCATGCCCTCTGCCTGAAGTCTTTTAAATTCCCATCTCCCTCCCTTTCTGCCTGTTCTCTCGTGAGCCTCATCAAAACCCCTTGTGTCTTCATTGACTGTAAATGTACAGGAAAGGCGGCAGAAATCAAGTGTTGTTTAACTTATTTGAAAGGCAGAGCAAGGAAGAGGTATCTTCAACATGCTAGTTCACTCCCCGGGAAGATGAGAAAATGGACCGGGGAGAAGTCCCTGGAACCCTCACTACCCTGTGCCCCACCCGCACTGTGCTACCAGGGTGTGGTTCCCTCTGGACGTGGCCTCCAAAACAGCACGGGCCTGGCACTCGGCAGGCAGGCAGGGACTTCCTGAAATAGCTGAATCGTGTGCCCGCGTCTGCCTGTGTGCCTGGAGTGTGCAGCCAGCATCTGGGGGCCTCTGTGGCTCCCGTGGAAAGTACCCAGTGACGCCATCCCAGGAGAAGTACAGCCTCAGAATAAGCTGTCTCAACAGGTAAAGGTACTAAAAACACAAATATTTTAAAATATGTTTATTATGTATTTTATGTTTAATACTTCAAGAGAAAATTACCATGATTTCAAAATGCCACCCCTGGATTCAATAAATATCTTTTTATAATTACACTTCATCAGTATCCAGAAATGTAGGTAAATAAGTCAGCTAAAGAACAAAGCCGGTAAAGCAGCTCCACAAACCACAAGTCTCAGGGCCGGGGGCCACGCGTGGTCGGTTAGGCCACTCTGCCGCCGCGGCTTTTAACATGATTCACGTGTTTCCATCACCTTCGGGAGCACAGCATTGCAAGATACATTAGACTCCTGCTGCTGAAAAGAATCTTTGATGTCTTTAAAAAAAAAATCAGCTTACTGCAAAGAAATTCAGGAAGAAAATCCCAGGACCCTTGGACAGAAGCTCCCAGGGCTCGTGCCCCTGTGACGCACACGAAGCTATGAGCCAGGCTACGAACAGTGCTCTCCTAATGGAAGACGCTAAGAAGCAGGCAAATGAGGGTTCTGCAGGCACAGGCTGGCCCTCCAGCGTGCCGGTGCGGGCTCCTCGTGTCAGCAGCTAACCACCCCTACCTTAGCCAGCGTTACAGAAGCAAAACATTCAGGGTAATTATTTATCACAATAAGCGTAACTGTTCTTTTGCCTTCTACAATCAATCACCTTTGAAATGCTACAAGTGGACTCCGGCTGTGGGCTGTGGGTGTCTTCTGGGCTGAGAAGGTGCAGGTGCACGTGGGAGAAGCTACTGATTGACCTTCTCAAAGTACTCCTTGGATGCGGTTGGATGCGGCTTGATCTGAAAATATGAAAAGACATTAGCTGCATGGGTAACAATGACTTTAGGATAAAATAGTCTCAAAAGTTAAGCTGAAAGCTCCCAAGTTTTAACCTGAAGTTCTTTTAAGTCTCTAAGATTGTTTTGTTTCTTTTCAAACACATGGATGAAAGTTACATTAACAGCCTGCCTGGTCCCTGGTGGGCCCCTCACACCCATTCAACCCCCATGGCTACACCCACCTGCACCTGGCCTGCACCCTGCTGCTAAGGGAAGCCCCCTGCTGCAGACACCCCAGGCCAACAGCCCCCACAGAGGACCTGGGCCCTCTGCGGGGTCCTGCCGCTTCTGGGAAACAAGAGCGAAACCTCACCGTGGGAGACTCTGGCGTCCAGTTCGCTGGGCAGACCTCCCCGTGGGTCTCCACATACTGGAAGGCCTTCACCAGGCGCAGGGTCTCCTCCACGCTCCGGCCCACTGGGAGGTCGTTGACGCTCAGGTGCTTGATGATCCCATTGGGGTCAATTATGAAGAGGCCTCTGCAGCAGAACGGACCCGTGAGAACCCCGGCAGCACCAGAACAGGGCGGAGACCAGGCCGCCCCAGCGCTCAACACGGGACTCCCTCGGCTGTACCGGAGGCGGCTCTGTGTCTCACTGCCGGCGGACACTTTAACAAAGGCAGGACTGGACCGGGTCACCGGGGGAACATACATTATGGTCAAGTCCACGAAACCGCAGGGGGCATGGTTACCCTGCCTCTCCGTGGTTGGGATGCACGCTTTGGGCTATGGGGTCAAATCCTGGCAAGAAGCCACGAGCAAGGGCGAAGGGACAGAGATGGTGCACTATCTGTGGTTCAGAAATATTTCGCAAGTGAATGAGTTCTCGGGCAACGAAGAGGAAAAATCCCACAGGAAGATCTGCAGCAGGAAGCCAAGCCCATCACCTAGTAAGGCAGTGGCCCACCAGGCCACAGGGTCAGAGGTCATTGTGTCCGTGTTACCACCTGGGGGAGTGGGGCTGGGCTCTGAGGCCTCACTGGTCCTGGCACCTGTGCCTGGAGGGCGGAGCCAGCTGGAGTCTGCAGGGCAGAGGAGAGCTGGGACGAAACAGTTCCCTGGCTTCCAGAAGCCCAGTGCTAGCCGCCACAATATTGCAACTGGCAGGGGTGTAACTGCAGGATCGGCGAGGACCCACAGAGAAGAGCACCCCGGGGGCGAACAGCAACGCCTCCCCCGCCACCACCAACTCTGCAGGGCAATCTCCTCTCAGGCAAAAAGCTCCACGCCTCGTGCTGGAACTCCAGAGAGGACCCAAGAGGAGAGCAGGTGACTCTGAACAGTGAGGACGAGGCCGGGGGGCGGGCGGGTGCTGGGTAGCAGGCACCAAACACTCAGGAGTCACAGGCCGCTGTGTTGCACGGCACAGTGGGGTAACTACAGCGCACAACCACCTAGCATGGGTGTGTACAGAACTGGGAGAGAGGGGCCGGTGGGCTGCACACAGGAGAGCGAAGGAGAGGCTGCCCACATCGAGCAGTTACTCTGTGCACGTGCCCGAACACGGCGCCCAAAGGCTGCCCTGACCCCATAAAAAGCGTAAGTATCACACGTCCACCAACAACGCCTCAGGAGACGGACTTTCTGGGGCCTCCAGGAAGCACCTGAGCAGCTCTCAGGGAAGGGGGTCTCACCTCAGAGCGAGCCCGGGGCCCTCCAACAGCACGCCATAGTCCCGGGCTATCTGCTTGGTTAAGTCCGACAAGAGCGCGATGTTCATGTGGCCCAAACCGCCGCTCTGAGAGAAATGCAAACAGGGGCTGTCACACTCCCACACGGTGGTGCTCCAGGCCCACGGTCAGGCGGCGAGTGATGGGATGTGGGCACGGACAGCGGCGGGCTCCGCTCTCCACTCTGTTTAGCTCACTTCCTCCCTGAGCCGTCCTGAAGTAGACCAAATAACCACCCCCAATTTATAGAGGGGCAACTGAGGCCCCCCAAGGTCAAGTAAGGGCAGAGGCAGGAATGAAAGCGGCTAACGTAATTCCTAAAGCGAACTAATTTCTCAAACACAGACGTGGAAGAGCGATGACAAGAAATCGCTTTGATCCTCTGAGCCACCCAGGGTCTGCAGAGGGATGGCCCAGCCGTCTCGCCGCCCT